CAAGTTTTCACACATTATTAATGGGACAAAGATAAGTAATACCAAATATTGGAATAAATAAAGAACATTATTGATTTCCAGATTTTTGAAACAAGATGTTTCTTACCAGATGTTTGTTTCAATCAAATTAACGCAATTAATTCTATTGGAAAACAAATTAATTTTATAACATTCCTGTGATGTGTATTTATTGTGCCGCCATTTCTGTAATGACAATTTACTTAACCTGATGATACGATAAAGAGGATAAGGCCAGGTATCTAACAAACTTGAGTATTATAATAAATTTGGAATTTACTTTTCAGAGCCGGCTTGTAAAGAAACACAATTTGTTTGCAAATTATTTGCGTCTCTGGCCATGTCTTAAGTTGTGCTTTCTATAATGCAATACTATAAAAAATGATACAACCTAACGGAACATTTTTCAACTGCAATTATATTTATTTTTAAAATTTTCAAAATCAAGCTTCTGTTTCCAACTTAAAATTCCTTTTGATGTTATATGATCGAATGCTTTTTCATTGAGAGTGCAATTAAGTGATGTCAGGAATTAAGAAAGTCATGTTTCTCTTCAATTTTGAAAAAAAAAATTTATTAATTCGTTTTAATAAAATTGAAGTCTACAATTGTACTTTGAATCTAAACAGAGTAAGAATAATATTAGATATAAGGATATATAAGGATTCGATTATAGAAATGCTAATGCCTTTTCAATTTGTTGAGCATTTTTCTCTTAGAAACTTTTCCATAAATTTAAATCATCGGTAAATCATAAGTAAATGTATGAAATTATGATAAAAGGCTTTCAAAACTTAAAAAGGCATTCTAAAATGTCCAATGGCAGGATAAAATGGTATAGAGTATATAAATGTCTGTTAATAGACGACATTGTTAATTGTTTGAACTTGCTTGGAGTGTGTTGTACATAATTGCTTTTGTTTTCGTTACTGTTGTTGTTGTTTGTCTACTTTCTTCCTTTCATAGGCAGCATAGAAAGCTGAGTTAAGTGTGGGAGGGCGAGAATATGCGATGCGCGGTGTTTTATATATTCGACCAATACTTACATACACACATATATAACTTATATAGAATTGTAAATATATATTTATAGATACATACATATGTATATGGTGGGTATTGTACAAACAACAATTGCCACTCACCAATGTCTGCGAATCAAACTACTTTGATTTTCGACTACGTTTTGTTGCTTTTATCCTCGTTTACGAAAATTTTCCCATTATATGTATGTGTATACCCTTATATGTATACACAAATATTTTTAAGTGCTTTTTGGAATTTTTGCTTCGCACTACAACTGAAGCATTCTGACCTTTCACATAATTTGCACAATTTTTCGCTATTATTGGTAATTTGGTAACTTCATTTTAGGCCCACATCACGGAAGTGCGCAACACTTAATAACTAACTAATACATACATATAATGTATTGTGTATGTATGTATGCACATTTGTGTGTATAGCAATTGAAACTGAAGTATATACCACTAGTTTCAGCACTGAATAATATAAATTGTCAATCCAATTATAATTGAAATTTATGCAACTTGCACCACTCATCTATAATTTACATCGACGACTGCACTCTCTGAAATTTTCGCTTCACTCGGAACACACGGAACACGACAATTTCAAAATTGTGGCCGTTTCGCACGGAAACATTTATAGCCTGCTTTGTGGGGCCAGTACTTGTCTTCTTTTTTCTACAATTTTCGTATCGAAAGAAAAAAGTATGCAATGGCTTCAACGCGCCGCGCTGGTTCAAACCGTTGGAACTCTGCACTTTGCTTAGCGTGGGCGACGATGCTACTCGCTGACTGGTTTCTTTCCGAATGTGTGAGTCGTTGTCTTCGTCGTCGTCTCAGTAGCTTTGCCGGACATCCTCACAGCGCTGGAGCTTGCTGTAGGTTCGGGCGCAATTGCGAGAGTGTCTGACCAACACATGGCCCGAGAGAGTGGAGAGAGCGAATGTGAAAGAGAGAAAGGGCAGGCGAATGTTTTGGCAAAAGTCAGCTGTTTACTGGATACAAAATTTATATATTGGCAAGGCTTTGTTTACTGACCACGATGATATGTACATTATCGATACTTTTCACGCAGCCCAGACTTTATGGCAGTAGACATAAAAACAATTTAATATTAATATTAATTCAATTTTTCTTAGTTGTAAAGTGTTTAATATTAATTTATATAAATACCGACATGAAAAATTGTCTGTAGTTCATTGTATGTATTATTAATATTTATATTCATTGATTAGAAGGGCCTTCTCCCAATCATAAATAAATCAGACATTCAAAGATCCAAGCAGTCTTTTATAGTAATTAAATAGATACATCAAAAACAATTATTCTTTCGACGTCCACCTAAATGCTTGTACTAATGCTAAAGCATTAACTTAGTTACATAAAATAATACACACAGCATACAGCACGAACGTAAAAGAACATCGTTAGCTTGAGATTTATGGAAAACATTTTTAAACACATGATGTTCATCTTTTGGAATCAACCACCCAGTGCCCTTATGTCTAGTCCCTAACAGATAAGAGTCGTTGTGGCACTAGGCTAGGAATTAAATTAAACAAATAATAATAAGAGAAGCGTGACGAAAAATGTCTTAAGATACACCATGCAATAATTTGTAAATCTTGCAAATTTGTACAAGACATATAAAAAATGTGTGGATAAAACAAAATAGAATGGGAATCCTTTGTCGAATTCATCCAAATTGTTAAGCAAACCATTATCTTTGTGAAATTTTCACAAATAGCACCATAAAGAGAAAGTTTCGAAAAGTACCTTTGTATCCTTATAGTCTTAGAACTTTGCGCCCTAATGGGACGAAGTTAAGAAGGATCCATTTTATTGTATCTGTACGGACTAAACCGTTAGCAGGCCAATCTCTTTCTTTAAATACCACATCCAATCATATGTACTCGTATATCCAATATGTCATATCTCATCTGACGTGCGATGTCCAAAGAAGTTTCCGCTCATCTTAAGAAGAATGTTGCTATATTTGATCAAAGTCTGGTATGTCTGATTTCATTCTCCACTCGTAAACATGTCGATATAGTTATGTATGTTTAAGAAATGAAAATTCTCGTATATCATTATTTTTCATTTTACTTTCATTTATTTTTGTTTTCGTCCTTTTTTATTTTTAAAGAATCTTACGAATTCATTTTTTATATATTTTACAGACAAACTTGTTTGCTCACTTAGTTGTGGTTTTAGTAAATATTTAACATATTTTTTACATCAGTTAAACCAAATAAACTTACGCTAAACGTTACGACTAAGATTTAAATTCCACTTACAAATTAAATACAGTGAATAAAATAAAAATGATTATGTCTATAATTTTTTAAATAAATAATAAATCATTTCACAAAACTACAATTCTATATTATTTGACATTTTCATTTTGTTTTTACTTCTTATTTTCTTTCTGTACGAAAATATTGTTTTGTTTTTTTGTTTACGAATATGTTATACTTTACAGCCTAAACAGTTTAACAATAGATTTATAAAATTTTACAAAAATGTAATTTGTAAACACAAATGGATCATTTCGCTTCACTCAAGAATTTGTCTTACTTTCGTATGTAAAAAAGTGTTTATTATATACAATATTTAACACTTATGTATTTTGTGTAACTTTAATGAATTATCAAATAAACGCGTCTAAAACATTTATATTTTCATTTGAATTGTGTTTGTCTTAATATTATTCACAGGGCCCAATAGAGTTTCCCAAAAGTAAAGGAAATTAAGAGAATTAAATTAGGCATAACTTTAAATGAACTTTATTTCAGCAAACATATGAAATGCCAATGTATTTAATTAAAGTAAAATATTAAGAAAAAAAAAGTATGTATTTTTTCATTTGGTAATTGTTTTAAATAATTATATTGCTGTTCTCATTTTACTTGGATGCTGGGCAAGGTAGTGCTTAGAAACAAGACAAAGTAATTCCTAATTATGTAAATTAGGCATGGAAATAATTATTGCAATTTTTATGTTGTAAATTCATAGAAAAAGTATACTATAAAGTACAAGTTATTGCTAATTATTAATGGATTATTAACTCTGTCAAATAATAAAATTTCACAAAGCATCATACTTTAAAGTATATTTTTCACAATACATATTTTTTAAAGCGAAACCTAGAGAAATTGCTTGCGGCTTTTACTGAGTCTGCAAAACGTTGCACAACAATTTCAAGAAATTTCAAAGTCAAATTGTTGCCTCGTTGCGCAGACACGTGTAATTATACACGGGAAGTGCAAAGCGGCAACATAAATTATTATAAATTCGAGAGTACACGTTTCAATCGCAAATCGAAAAGCAAATTCAATTTAACACAAACGGAACTTATGGCGTCATCATGAACTCTGCTTATCGAAAGGTTGGTGTTTTGTTATTAATTTTGCTTAAACTATTTACCTCCAATTCAATTAACTCGCTCTTTGTACTCTTTTTTCATTAAATATTACGTGTAAAAAAACAATACTTAATTCTATAGGTTTTACATTATATACATCGAAATACTTAGTTATATACACAAACGCTCAGTACAATCTTTTGCGTGGTTAGTTGCCATTTTTATTTACATTTTCCATATCCCCAAGCTCATCTTTGGGCACTTCTTAAGTAAACATTTCCTTTCTGTTCTATTTGAATTGCTTGCGTTTTTAGCGTGGCTTTGTTACGGAAGGGGTTTCTAAGTTGGTTAGTCAATAGCAATAAATAGTTAATGCTTTTATATTGATTGAGTTTTTATTGTTACATGTTAATTCAAAATAAATTTAACACAAAATCACTACTCTATCCAACGTATTTGCATTTGAGTGAATATTGTTAACGAAATCTTAAATGTTCTCAACTTTAAAATTAAATGTACATATTGATTAAATTTGTTGTTTAAAGAAAAGCATTTAATGTTAAAGCAAATATGCAAAAATGTTTCCCTATTTAAATTCAATTTTGCATCGATCAAATAGATTTAGGCATACATACATATATGTAGGGTCTCTAAATATATATAGCATTGTGTACTTATATATAATAGATTTATGTTGTTGTTGTTATGTAAAACGCGACTAATAATTAACTAAGTAGTAGAACGTTTTCTTGCTAAGCAAAATTCTGGTATTTTTCTTTTGTTTTTCTGCTTTTTTTTTTGTTATTTAAAATGTACATTACTGATTGTTATTAAAGTGTTTTGCAATCAAACTGCGATTACATACAATATGTATCTACATTGGCGTTTATAGGCATATTAGTTTAAGCGTTTAAAACACAAACAATAATAAGGAGTTTTGTTGCTGTTGCTGCTGATAAATAAGGAAAGCGAGAATATTAGCTAGTTTGTTCCAATAGCAGAGCTTCACAATTTCTAGTTGTTGTTGATGTTGTTAGTGGTTGATTGCATTTGGAAGTTATTGCTGTTATTTTTCTGATTTTGAGTGTATTCGTTATAACTGGGTACATTGGATTTCTGACTTCTGCTCAGAGTTATTTGATTGTTTTGATCAATTCACGCTGCAAAGATAGAAAAAACTAAATATTAGGCTTATTTTTATCACTAAAATGAAAATACATTTTAAAACTAAATACAATTACAGTTTGCATCTGATTTAAAATAATATAATACATACTAGCAGAATAGTTTATTTATAAGGAAGAGTATTTTGAACCCTAAGCTAACAGGAATATAAGTATATTGCAAATGAGTTTGTCGAATATTTCGAATATTATATTATTTCAATTATAGATATATTACCTTTGAAAACCTACATGCAAATTTGGCGAGCTTCATTTCAAATTATCTGCATATCTAGCCTTAAAGTTACAAAAGCGATGGTCAGGGAGACAAACAATTTGCACTCAAATTCGTTCAATTATTCAAGTAGACCATGAAAAGTCAATTTGAAACAGAAGTAGTGTTATTAGTATTTGATTGAAATAACATAAGCCGCATGACATAAATGTCAAATGTACAATTCTAAGAGCATTAAAATTGTTTGAATTTGGAGACTTTCTTTTCTATGGCATGTTAATAGATGTCAAACTATTTTCAATTGCAAAATTAATTGTTACAAAATATAAATATTGTTTAACAATTCTAAAATTCACACTTCAACCCGACTCAGAACTCTATTTAATTATGAGGAATATAAATAGGTAAGTGTTATTAGTTATTTAGAATCAGAACTTTCACTAGGGACTCATTTTATATTCGGAATATTTTAAAAGTTTTCAGAATTAGGGCAATTTCGAAATCGAAATTTAAATGAATTCGAATATACATATGAAAAAGTACATAGTCTTGATAGTCTAGAAGTCTACTGAACACACCTGCTACATAGGTTTAAACGCCATCTCGTCTTGCCACTGACGCATTTGGTGTTTTCTCCACAACGGTACCGGCGATGACGCGAGAATCACAGGAAATTGTGCGCTGGAGGCAACGCGAACGCTCACTCATTTTTTCTTGCTGCTGCTCGAGCAGCGTGGGCGCAGCATTGAAGTGGCCACCTGTAAAATATTGGAATGCAGATTCTTCGATTAGAATAGTTGGGATGGCAGAACTGGGTCATAAGTCCACTTACCCTTTGGTTTGTCATCGAACATGTGCAGCTTGTGAGCTGTGCTTAGAATGTTGTTTACGGTGCTGAGAGTGGCGGCCGCATTAAGGGGATCTGTTTTAATGGAAGTAGCTGGTGCTCCAGCTCCCGACGCTGTCATCGGATGATGGTTGTTGTTGTGCACGCTTATGGAATTGCGACGCTCTCGCATGGCTGCCTGAAAGCGTTCCGGTGACTGCAGCGAGCATTTGTTAATGGTCTGAATTTGAGGCTTGGTAAAACGATCACCTGGCGAGGACAAAGAAGCTGGCGGCTTCATGGGTGTCGTCGGTGTGCTGGGCGAGGGTGCTGTATCGACCGATGGACGATGCCGCATTCGGTACTCACTAATGGACAGCTTACGCTTTGGCATGGGCGTAGGCTCAGGCACAGTCAGCATGGGATTCAAGCGCGGATCGTGACTGGCTGTGCGTGTGTATATTTTGAGGGGTGTGGTCGTAGGCGGTGGCATGTCCAGGGCGGTGGGTGTGGTCGGCAAATCACGCTTGTAGGGAGTGCCCAAGGTGGGTGTTGTCGGTGTGGCTGCATTGGCAACCATCGTAGCTAGACCCCCACGCGATTTGGTCGCCTCCAAATACTCGGCCAGACTGGGAATGCTTGACATTTTGGTTACGCCCAATGGAGGCGCGATCTGTGACTCGGCTGCTACCGGGACTCCTCCACGCTCCTGCAGCTTGCCATAAATGGTATTGTAGTAGGGTAGGGACATCTTCGGTGCTACCACCTGGGATTGTGGTTGAGTGATCAGCACGGGTATAGGTGCGGCCGTCACGGGCAATACTTTGGGTGGTGGAGGCGTCATCTGTTGACCAAAGCTATTGTTATAGCTGTTGGGTGGCTGCATTTTAGCTGCCACATTGTTGTAGTGAGTGGGGGGCATAATGGTACCTGGTGTTGTGGGCGCTATTATTGGGTTGACAGCCACAGGCTTTTGATTGTAAGCGGCGGTAATGTTATTGGTGTTATTAACTAGAGCCACTACTGGCGCCACTGGTGCTACTGTAGGCTTGATGTGCTTGCTGCTGCCCTCCTGCTGCTTGCTTTCCTTCTGCTTCTCACGCTCCTTCTTCTTGCTCTTCTTCTTCTCCTTCTTTTCCTTTTTAATAGCCGCCGCAATAACTGCCTGCTGCCGACTGCCACACATTGATTCGCGACGTCGCGTTATGGCCGTAAGCTTGCCACTGGCAATGGCGGCCGCCAAACTGGTTGTGCTGTGATCCTCCAAGCGATGATTCTCCTTGCGATGTTGTTGCTGTGCTTGTGTGGGTGGCAGTAGCGTCTGTTGCAGCTGCAAGGATTTGGCGCTGTTGTTCAATAGACTGTTGATAAGTATTTGACTGTTCGGTTTGGTCAGCTCCTGTTCGAAATTCGTCTGCCGCTTTTTGATTGCTGGAGTTGTAGGCGGTGTAACCGATGGTGTGGCAACGGGAGCAACTGCTGATGTTAGTGGCACGCACATGGACATGGTGCGACGTCGAAGCGTATTGTTGTGCTCAATGATGTTTGTGTTATTACTGTTGCCGTTGTTTTCACTATTCTTTGTCTTCCCATTGGCTGTTTTGTTCACGATAGCTGGTGCTGGGGCAGCTGTTATTGCTGTGGCGGCACCTGGTACAGGTCCAGAGACAACATTTTTGCTCTCCTTTTTCTTCTTGGACGAGGAGGTCGAAATGTTTTCACTGCCTGCCGCTTTCTTCTTATCCTTATCCTTAGACTTTTTCTTATCCTTTTTCGATTTCTTCATCTGTTTGTCGCGTTCACGTTCCTTTTCTTTGGTCTCCTTCTTCACTTTTGTCGGACTGCCACTATTCGGCAGTGGATCGCCACCATCACTATGACTCTGGCTACTGCCGCCGCTCTTAGACGATGCCTTTTTATTGCGCGACTGCAAATACGATATGTTGGCAGCATGGAAGGAGTGTAGGCGTTCCTGCAGATCATGTTCGGTAAGGTTTTTACTGCTGCTGCTACTGTTGTTTGCAGCAACTACTGGAATAGCTTCTGTGGTAGTTGTAGCTGTGGAGGCAGTTACAACAAGTGGGGTAGCGGCTGTTGGATGTGTTGTTACCTCCAGCTTTGGCTTCTTCTTGAGCGGCTCATCATTAGTGTCTGTCGATTCAGCTTTGACTGGCGTCACACGCGATTTAAGCGCTGGCTTCACTGATTCCTCAACCGGCTGTTGCGGAACCGGTATGGTTGTGGGAGTGACCAAGGCCACTGCCTTATGCGCCGCATTGCGCAACAAGGACTCACCTGGCTTGGGCTCGGTCGGCTGCTTCTGCGCCTGCTGTGGTTCCAATTTAGCGGGCTCGACCACAAGCTCGCTGTCCAAGCTACTGACCTGTGGTTTCTCTTCTATTTTTGGGTCCATTTTGGCCGTTTCTTCTGCCAAGTCTGCCTCCTGTTTTACTTTGAGCATTTCCTCAAACTTATCACAGGCCTGACTCTCCTCGCGCTCCACATCGATCTTGACATCATCCGCCGCTGCGCTCGTATCTTCGGGTTCAATCTTCACCAGATTATCCTCGGCCACAATTTGATGGGTGCCTGGACTGGGTGAGCGCAATATGTCCACGTCATCGTCCTGATCCATCAGGTGTGGGTGCTGCTCCAATTGCCTTACTGCATCCACTTTGTGCGCCTGCTCCAGCTTTGGTTTGACATCTTCATCTGCACCGCCTATCACATCGATGTGTGCATCCTCGACAAGGGCATTCGCATCATCCTCGTTGTTGCTGCCGTTGCTGACTACCACAAGACGACGCTTTTTCAATGGTGTGCTAAAACCATTGGGCAATTGTTGTTGTTGCGGCAGTTGTGTGCCCTGTGGTGAAGCGGTTGGTGTTAATGGGGTGCCACAATGAGACGATGGCGGCGTTTGTGCCTGTCCACCATCGTCCGTTGTTTCCTCACTGATGGCCTGTCGTAGCCAACGTTTCTTTACTGATGAATTGTTTTGAAGCGGCAACTGTAGTTGCTCTCGTGGTGCGGACGTTGCCTCGGCCTGATGTATGAAATGCTCCACTTTAAGTGCCGCAAAACTAAGCTCGGGAGCCATTGCAGCTTGTGCCGCACGCTGCTGCTGAGCAACATTAATTTCGCTCATTGCCGCCTGCACAAGACTGTCTAGACCGGAGCTGTGCGACTGATCCGTGGAGGCGTTCTCTGACTGAAACCAATTGGACATGAGCATCTTCTTAGTCTTGGCACCAGCAGCACCACCTGTTGCAGAACCACCTACACTAGGGTACTTGAACTCGCCGGATTGCGGTGAGGGATGTTGCTCCAGTGGTCCCATAGCCGCCTCGATGAGCATACAGGCCGAACTGACCGATGTGGGAGGCGTGACCTGAGGTTGTGGTGACTTAAAAGCCATCTGATATTTATCTGATTGCTCGGAATTTTGAGCCAACGCTAGCAATAGACCAGCCGCCTGATCTGTATGCTGGTGACTCAGACTTGAAGAGGTCATGGACGATGGCAAACGTGATTGCTGTGTTTGCGGTGGTGACTGCATGGATGTAGCCTCTGACTCTGAGGTGGTTAGGGTGTGTGATTCACCGTCCGATTCAGCGGCTGCCACTTCAGCAGATGAGCTGAGCAACATGCTCTTGCGTCGCTTGCGTTGAGCGGCTGTGATACCTCCACTACCAGTATTGTTGTACGAGCGACTAGCCTTGCGTTTCTTCTTATTCCGACGCGCATTGGCCGCTGCAGTCGCCGTTGTATTAGATGTGGTTGGTGTGCCTACGATACTCAAATTGGGATGTTCGGTGTCTTCACTGACCGAGTTCGAAGCTCGTTTACTGGGCGATGCCGGCGAGTTGCTATTCTGACGCTTTGTCTGTCTGCTGTTTTCCTTCTTGCCACGTGCCTCTTGTTTCTCCATTTTCTCGATGGCACGCAGTATGGCTTCCAGTTTGCGATCCTCTCGCGACTGTTTTGGCTTATCCTTAGCAGATGTTTTGCTTGCATTTGGAGTGGATACAGTTTCCTCATCATCCTTGCCATCCTCACTATTTCTGCGCGCATTAGCCGACTGTTTAGCTGGCGTTTTACGTGACGAGTTCGCATTGTGTGCAACATTATTAATGGAGTTATTATTACTGCTGTTGCTATTGTTGTTGTTCTGTGGCGCCTTCTGCGGTGTTTTAATGGGCGTTACAGCCGTGGTTGCCGGAATTGGCAAAGGCGCCGGCGGCGCATTAGGTTTCGCTGTTCCTTGATAAATTGCCTGAGACTGCTGTGACTGCTCAGATGGCTTTGTTGGTTGTGGTTGCTGCTGAGCTTGTGGCGGCTGTTGCTGCATTTGTGTTTGTTGTTGCTGTACTTGTTGCGTCTGTGCCTGTTGTGGTTGTACTTGTTGCTGCTGCTGTGCTTGTTGTTGCTGCTGTGCTTGTTGTTGATTCTGTAGTTGTTGTTTCTGCTGTACTTGTTGTTGTTGCTGCTCTTGTTGTTGTTGCTGCTGCACTTGTTGCTGTGTTGGCATCTTAATGGGCGTCACAATATGTGGCGCGGCATGTAGAGTCTGCAAAGCGCTAACTGCCATACGCGCCTCATCCGCAAGCTGCTGTTGTTGTAGGTAGTAGGTCTGTTGTTGCTGTGGCGACATGGCCATAGGACGCTGGGCAGCTGCTGCGGCAGCAATTACCGCTAAAGGCTGTTGCTGTTGCTGCTGTTGCAACATTACTGTCTGCTGATGTGGTGACAACAACATAGGTGTAGGCAATGCTGCCAAGATCTGTTGTTGCTGCTCAGTATTCTGCTGCTGCTGGGTTGGACTGCGTTGCAAGAGCGACGTTTGGAGTGTAGGCGATTGCAATTGGGGCGTGGGAGAAGGTATGGACACCGATGGTGATGAGGATGAGGTGCAGATGCCAGAGTCGTGCAGCACACTGGACAACGATGAAGAGGTATTGCTCAAACTATTGTTATTGCACAACACAGGCAACATGTTGTTGTTACCATTGTTGCTGGGCAATGTGCTAGCAGCAGGAACCACGATACCAGCATTGGTATTTACGTTGACGGTGGCCGGCTTGAACCCCAAGTTCAATTGCGACAGCTGCGGACTGTTGAGACCCATATTGCTACTCTCCCCACTAGAGGAAGTAGAACGATTACGAGCCGACACCTGCATTGAGGATGGTTGCTGCAACCCCATGGTTAGTTGTATGGCTGCAGCACTATTCGCTGCTGCCAGATTGGCGGCGGCCTTATTCCGATGGCTGCTGCGGGGCTGAGCGGGTGGTGCTTGTAACTGTTGCTGTATGGCGAGGGGCAAGGCGAAGAGGCAATCACTGCCCAAATCACAGGCACAACGCGTGCTGGTCGGTTGAACCACTGTGGCCAGCGTTTTCTTATGTTCAACGGCTGCCAAATCATGTGGCTCGTGTCGCACTGTAATCTCCGTTTGGGCGCGTATGTGCGTCAAGGCCACAATATATAGGTGCAACGTACCCTTCTCGAAGTAGTGCTGGAGCTCGGCGTTGGGGCGACACGAGCGACGCACGAAGCGTGCATCATTGCCGTAAGTCCGCGTATCGACGCACACCTCCGGTCCCTTCAAATAGGCGGGGGTTTGCATTGGTGCCGACGGGGTGCTGCCATCAGCCCGCAGCGTTTGCATGGGTGCCTCCACGCCCGGCAGCTGATAAAAGAATATAAACTGTCCGGGTATCTTGTGGGCCTTGAAGCTGTTCAGATAATTGCTAGGCGGCGGAGTATTCATATTCACCGTGGGATTCTGAGTGCGGAATTGTGTGGTCAGCATATACTTGCCACGCAACTCATGGATAGGCGAGTGCGGGGCTAGATCCACGCTCGAGATAAGCACCTTGGCACCCGCATAGGGAATGAGCTGAGCCCGGCGCTCCAGTTCTCCGTTGCTGCTGCAATTGCGCAATGCCTTATTCTCCGTATTCTGGATGCTCTGCAGCAGACTGGGCTGCTTTTGTATGGCATGCAGGCGGGCTCGCAGCTCTGGCGAATAGTGATTTGTTACCGCGTACTCGTAGTTCTCAATCCATTGACGCAAGTTTGCTGCATGCTTCTCAGCTGCCGTTAGAGCAGGACTTCCCCCATTCTCACCGCTTGATTTGCTCTTACGCTTAGTAGTCTTCTTGCCTGACTTGGTGGCAGAAGTGCTGCTCGAGCCTGGTGTTGTGGTCTTGTCACCACCGCTTTTCTTGGACTTCTTGCTGCCACCAGCAGCTCCACCTGCCGTTGCTGCGCCCGTTTCTTTGGTTTTCTTGTGCACCTTGCTGTTCTTCTTGCTGCCCATCGTAGCTGGCATGCCGGAGGCATAGCCGCCATTTAAAGCGGCCAAGCGCTGCTGCTGTTGCAACAGTTCCTGGCTAATAACTACATTACCGCCACTTGCACCACCCGGGGCAACGGCGCTGCCTGCAGTGCCCGCTGCGGCGGCAACTCCATTGGCCGCATGGGTAGCCACCAGAAGCATTTGTTCCTTGCGCTTTTGTCGTTGCAGTGCACGTGCTCTAGCCTTATCCACAGCCCTTGGCTGACATAACTCACATAAATACTCTTCCGGTATATTTTGGCGATCGATACCCATACAGTCCACATGTTGCCAAGCACTGTGGATACGAACAAAATGTTCATTAAGGTATTAGTAGGGAGTTAAATTCGAGTTTTGAATAAATAGTCTACTGTATTAAGGCCTCACGAAGAGCTCCACTATTATTATAAAGAAAAATATACTCACGAGCACTTGTCGCAGCAAATCATATACCCATCATCATGCGTCAAATCACATATGCAACGGGTCACTGAATCATCCTCTGCCTCTGCTTCCGGCGCAGTTTCCGTTTCCTCGCCGGGATCTATTTCGCCGCTAGCCAAACGCGAGCTAGTGCTAATGGCCGAATGAGCATCATCATCCTGAGCGTGGCGTGGTACTGAACAAGGCAAAACAAACACATGGAAATTGTACTACCTCTATAAAGTATGTATCTGTGATATACTTACTTTGTTGCCCATAGTAGCCAGCGTTGTATCCTGGCGTCGTAGGCGTTGTGGCGCCTGCAACTGCTACTCCGATGCCTCCCAATGACCATTGTTGTTGTTGCTGCTGCTGAGCAGAGTTTGCCGACTGCTGCTGCATCTGTTGGGAGCAATATGTATGATCCTGCATAATGGCGTGCAATTGCTGAACCCGCATGTCCTGCGTTTTCACGGGCACTGGTCGCACTTCCTCAATATATAACTCTTCATCATTTGCACTCAATTGTTGCGCCGTTGGCTGTTGCTGTTGTTGCTGTTGGTGTTGTTGCTGTTGAGCGGACAGATTTGCTTTTATTTGCACCAAAGCCTGTTGTTCCAATTGTGGCGTCGCCAACGACACGCTAAGTGGCATCAAGTGAGACGTGCTACGTATGCCGCTCACATTGCTCAAGCTGCCGGTATGCGAGAGATTATTGCTGTTGCTGCAGAATTGAACGAGAAAAACATATTTCTGTTCCATTAATTCCGTTATTTAAAATGTAGCTTTATCATTATAATTCGACTTCGAACTCACACGGGGTGTTAAAAAGAAAGAAAAGGACATGTAGCATTCATGCACCCACTCGTATGCAAATGAGAGATGGTAATCGATTGCAACTATAAATTTTGCTTCTGATCGATAGAACTGAACCAGAGGATAGCTCTAGTTGGTGTAGCCCTGTGTATACAAATTCAAGAACAAAACAAAAAGAACCTAAAACACATTTTGCTTTGTATAAGTCAAGCCTTTTTCCATTTCCGAATTCGACCAACTTGTAAAGAAACAATTTTTGTAAATTCACTTAATTTTACTCCACTAAATGGCTAAAATTAGTTGTAATAATTGTAAAATTAGCAAATTTAAATTAGACAAAATTAAGTGGAATTCGGAAAGGCCTGTTTATACACATAGTAGATCCTTTCCCTTTCTTCGCGTATCTGTCCAAAATTTATTTATTTCTCATGGAATCCAAGGAATCTTATGTGCGAAAAATAATAGACTATTTTTTTAAACACCAACTGACATTTTTTTTATACTTTTATTATAAATCGGGAAGCGCTGAAATTCAGCAGTTAACTCACCTGTGTTTGAAATACTCGACAACGGGTTGTTTACGTGAGACAGTTGTCAGCTCATGCTGTAACTTGCGCTCCATTGATGTCGCCCGACTAGTGGGTGCACTAACCGACTGCCTCCGGGCCGCTGTGGCCGAAATATACGAGGAAATAGCAGCACTTCCACTGGCGAAGCCATGCGATGAGATGCTCACCGACGGTGTGCTGACTACAGGAACTTGTACGCCGGCTGTAGACTGAGCCACCGTCAGAAATGACGATGAGGAAGGCGATGTGTTGGGCGACAAGGTTGCTCCCGCCTGCTGCTGAGTTTGGTAATGGGCAAGCAGGACATTTGTTGGCAGCGAAGTGCTGGTGGTTGTCGCACCACTGGTGCTATACACAATTTGTGTGGGTGTCGTTTGCGGTGCGGGTGGCGGCATATTTGTGTGATGTTGTTGCTGCTGCTGGTATCGTTGGCTAAACGATTTCTGAGCCATGCTTTGCAATATGCGTGCCGAAAGCTCATCTGTCATTTGTGTGCCATTCACAATCATAACGTCATCGGTGATGAGCGAGGACTGTTGCTGTTGCAGATTGTCACTATCGCTGCTGCAGCTACCGCTGCTATTGTAGTGTGTGCGCTTTTGTGTGGTCGTGGGCTGATGTTGTTGGATGACAGTACCATGTGAGTTTACAAACTTGATGGTACTTCCACCACTACCAGCAACACCTCCATTAGCACTAGTAGTCTGCAAGTAGTTTCCGCCGCTATTTGCAACATGTTGCGCCTGAGACGTTACTGTTAGCTTATGTTGCAGCTGCGTACCCTGTGGCAAATTGGCAGCCAGTTGTTGCAAAGGCTGCTGTTGTTGGTGCAACACGTATTTGTTACCCAATTTGGTCACCTTGGTGGCTGTCAAAGTGGATGTTTGTTGGTGTTGCTGCTTGCCATAGACGATGCCCGCTTGCTGTTGCTGCTGTGGTGTTAGCGCAGATATGGATAAAGCACCGGAGCTGACACCACTATTGTTGTTGCTGCTGTTACTGTTGTATTGCTTAACAAATTTGGATTTTATGCCAACTGTGTGTGCTGCTTTATACGGCGTCGTCGTTGTTGTTGCTGACCCATGTTGCTGCTGCTGCTGCTGTGAAATAAACGTCTTGAGCTGTTGCGACTGCAACTGCTGCGTCTGCAACTGTTGCTGCTGCAACATGTTCCCAACACTTTTGACTGTTATTTTCTGATTGGCCTTCTTGAGCAGCCCAGTATTCGTTGGAGGCGCTCGACTTGTGGTCACATATTTCTGCGTCGTTGGCTGCACAATTATTTGAGACGATTGCTGCTGTTGTGGTTGTTGTTGCTGCTGCGTAGGCGGAACATACGATTGAAGACGCGTGACCACCCGTGAGCCTAAAGTCACTTTCTGTAGTAACGGCGTCGTAGATGTCGTCGGAGTCGTCGTTGACTGTTGCACGTAGCCGGCTGCTGTAAATTGCTTGGCCGTCGTTGCTTTATAGGTTGCAACATTATTAGTGCCGACAAACTTTTGCTGCTGTTGTTGCTTTGATGGTGTTGCTGTGGCCGTCACATAGGGCAAGTTCTTAGCACTCAAATAGTTGAGCTGCTGCTGCGCCGCCTGCTGGGGCGAGGACGGCGCCTGTTTGGACAACACAGTGAGATTACTGAACAACAGTTTGGAATTTTGCGGCGGTGTTGCAGACGACGTATCGATAATAACGTTGCTCGTATTGCCATCGGTGGTGACAATCTTGTAGATCTGTGGGTTGAGCAGCTGCTGTTGCTCATGGCTGCTGGACGCCGGCGCCTGCTGTTGCTGTGTCGTACGCACGGCGTACTTTTGTGAGGCTGCTGCTGCTGCAGCTGCGGTGCCGCTGATCTGCTGCTGGTGACTGGCACTGAGTATTTGACGTGTGCTTATGGACATGCGCCTCTGCATGTAACGCTGCATGTGCGCCTGCGTGCCCAACGTGCTGCCATCGATGACAATGTGAGGAGGCGGTGGCGCATTAATGATGCGACTGCTGTTGTTGTTTCCGGAGCCGCCGCTGCTGCTAACGACCGGCTCAACGAACACGGTCTCATGCGTAGACATGGGCATGACGCTGCAAGGTGACGACTTCGCGCTATTTTATTATTGCTGTTATATTATTCACGTTGTATTTTATTGTTCACAAACTAATTGTAAATTGTATATATAGAGTTACAAGTACGTAAAGGCTTTTAACTGGTGCCAAGTTTTCTTAATCTGGTTGTAGTTTCTGACGTCGTTGTCGCTGCTGCTACTGAATTATATGATTTTCCCATTTCACAACACTACTTCACTTTTGTCATGTTGCTGCCGCTGCTGTTGCGGCGTCGTGCCCCCAAACCCTTGGGGGCCTAATGCATAACCAGAAATGCTTTCGTCGTTTACTTCGCCAGCTTTGTTGGCCTTGGTTGCTAATAAATTCATATGGCGCGCATTCAAATTACAAATACGGTTTTCAACACTGTGCCACATTACATTGTCAGCCATTACAAACATAACTGTGTTTCTAAAAGAGATAATTTGAGTGTGCTGGCTTTTTGCGGTTGTTGTCTGTGTCGCTCCAGCCTCTACGCGCTTCCTTGTCAACGTACGGACTTCCTTTACTCTCGTTGTTGTTGTTGGTGTCGATGTGGGTAATTTTCTTGCTATACGTCTTTTGCTCGTTCACAACGATTGTTAATTTTTAGTTAATATACGGTCATTCGTTGTATGTTGCATTTGCTGCAAGAAAAAGAGAAACCAAAATAATCTATTAACAAGATAGAAGATAGCACTTCAATTCAAAAGCTCAGGGCGCGCTTATCGGTGTACAGCATTGCCAGATGAAAAACAATTTAACACATTTACGTTATGTAATCAAACGAATTGAACGACAACATCTGAGAGCGCGTACTCATCATCGTACATCAATTTATAAATATATATGTTTACATGTGTGCGTGTCTGTTTGTGCCTCTGGAATGCTGCTCACATATCCACTTGCTATAAACGTGAGCGTAACAAAGTTGCATTAGCCAAAATACACACACAAATGAATATGTACATACAAAATATAAAGCCGCAAAAGATGTACTTAAGAGGAAGCAAAACAAGTAAAACGTTAAAGTCACTCAATACCGACTATTACATACCCTACCTACAGAGGGAGCTCTGTCATATTCATTCAACTGAAATAAGCTCTGTTACACCAATTGAATCTTATAAATCTATATGTCAAAATGTCCCGATATTGATTCAACTTTAAAAGAAATACCGAATAGTCTGAAAATATATGTCTGCCATGTACTAGCATAACAATATTTGACGTTTAAACTGTCTAGTATACCTTTGCGCACTTCAAGTACACGACATAGTCATAGTATTATTTACTTTTGTATCTGTGTGTTGAACTGCCGACCTATTTCACAATTTCTCAATGCTTAACCCTTGCAACAATAATATTAGCACTTGTGCATTTCACTATAAAACCTGTTCTCTCGTTTACATTGACAATATTAGAGCCAATATCTTAGTGTTACATTTTGCAGCCCGCCTCATGCCTTTAACCCATCTATTACATTAAGGCCAATGTTTAAACGAATACCTGTAGTTTTCAAACCTAAATGCAGAAAAAAAGATAGTTTGACATATCTCGATACAAATTTCTGTAATTGTATGTATATTTATTTATTGCACAATTGCTTTTTCATTTGTTCGCATATATTTGTTGTTGTCAAAGCACAAAAAGTGAATGCACTAATTTTGCCTTGGCATCCGCCGGCGGCGTTCGTCGACGAAGTTGTCGCTTTTTTACATTCCATTACACTTTTATGCATGTTAGAGTACGTATGTATATACAGTGTGCTTGTATCTTTATGTGTAGGGAGAATTCGTCTGTAGCCAGGCACTTGTACCTAAATGTGCGACTGAGCGTTTGTGACAATTTGCGCCTTTTCTATATAATTTTTAAATTCAAATAGAGCAGCTCAATTGAATTTATTTTATTTCATGTTTGTTTGCCTATATTTACGAAACATTTTTATAGCAAAGAGCAAAACGAAAACAATTTAGTGTTATGGCGAAATGCATTTGTATCTTCGTTCATAGGTATGTAATATTTATGTATGTACCTAACAATTGATTACGTAAGGGTGGCATTTATCAGCTTTGCGATGGTATATACACATCCATTGGTACATTAAAAAAACAAAAAAAAAATTGAAAATTTAAGTTTATATTCTTGTTTTGAATAATAATTTTTCTTATTGATCAAAATATACCAACTTGTTCGATACATTCCAAATGTATCGAAAAAAACTATCGTTCTACATAACGGGCGGAATATTTAAGTACGCTTGAGTTTAGCTTAATCACACAAGTTAATTGTGTAATTTTACGGAAATACATGTAATTATGTCCATATACATATATGTACTTCCGCTTAATGTTGCGTTTTATTAGAATAAGCAAAAACATAACCGCCAACCGAGCTGTGCCAGAGGCCGAAAAAGAGATAACAACAGCGAAAGGGGGCGAGTTGTGGAGGCTAATCGTGATTACACACACATAGTACATATTTGTTCATATACATACATATGTATGCACATATTATGAATGCGGCATGAAACGTGGTGTAAATTGTACAAGTTAAATGTGAGATGTATGTATGTATGCTCAAATCATCATCAATATAAAGTTTATAAAACAAAAAACTAAAACAATTTTGTTTGCTTAAGCTGTTCCACGTTCGCTCGTTCATATGTAGATATGTATGTATGAACGTATGTACATACGTGAGTAAATTTTGGTACCCAAAAACTGACCCTACCCCAACCCAAGTAAAAAGCGCGCCATAAACAAATGAAATATGTGGTAGTGTGTGTGTGTGTGTGTGTGTGAGGAAAAGAGCACGCAAGCAAGCAAATTCAAAATTTCCCAGTAGGACATTGCTTCCCAACAGATCGCAGTTTTTATGAGGATTGTTAAATGCACAGATATCCCAAACTTTTGTTGGAATAAAAACAAAAAAGCCTAATTTATACATTTACATACAAGATTAGGATATATGTTTGAATAAGAAGCCAGCTTAATTCCTGGATACCGTGCTATTATTTTTATACTACATATACATATGTACATACGAACATATGTACATACGAACATATGTACATACGAACATATGTACATACGAACATATGTACATACGAACATATGTACATATGTTTGTTGTGTATGTATGTACCTTGATGCAGTAGGGAATATACTATACCTAGATCCTTTTATATGGTTTTTGTTTTAGATTTTGTCTGTACTTTTTCACATGTAGTGTTTTGCATCAAAAGCGCACCAGTATAAATTTCTAATTACAATGGCAAAACCTAATCAAGCGCCAATGGCATTATGTATTGCACGCGATAAATTGAAATTTCAGCATACTTACATACATATATATACATCCATACGTACGTACACAGAGCTTCGCGCATCGTTATTTGCATATGGTTTGTTGGTGATTTTAAGCAGCTAGTGTCACCTAATTGCGTCTTATTTTTGCTGTTGCTGTTTGAACAGCCAACTATGTGCATACAAATGTAGATACATACATTCATATGTACATATCTACATATTAAAAGTATGTACATATATCTCAGTTACGTGAGTTATTGTGTGGGACCTAAGTGTTTTTTACCTAGAAAAATTAAGCATGTTTTGTTGATATACATATCTATGTATGTACATATGTATAAACATATGTGAGCATAAGTAGTTTATGATTGCTGTTGTTGGTAAGAACCGTTAGATGAATGTGTGCGAGCTTTAGCCAGTGTTGCGAAATGGCAAGTACTGCGCAGTATTTGTAGGGCCTAAACCGCGCCTTTACTTGACATGCACACACACGTTATTCAGAAACTAAATATGTACATATGTATGTATGTATGCACCTATATTGTAAAAGAGCATAAAATATATTGTAGTAAATATGCAATTTATACAAAAAAAAACAAGAAAACGATGTTTATAGATACATATGTACATACATATGTATGTACATAAATATGTAAAAACAAACATTCATATGTACATACATAAGCATGTGTAGAAACTTCTCGTACACACGTCTTTCATAAAAAGGCCACAAATCAATGCATGCATGTATATATGTATGTATGCAATTCCATATTCACACGTATGTACATATGTACACATGTGGTGTTCAACCGCCAATTGGTGGGGGTGTGAACCGCACACACGACAACCCTTGAAATTATCGAATGTTTTTTTTTTGCTAGCAGCATCAAGGTGGAGCGTATATTAATTTTAGGTGGGCCCCCACCCTCATTCCAATAGTAATGCAACGCACACATAAAACTCGTCTATCAACTTTTGCTTTCGTTTTTGTCAGAGAGTGGCGAAAATCACAGTAAGTACAGCGCAGGCATAAATAGCAATTGCAAAAATCACATACATATGTGTAAAGAGCGGAGATAGGCAAAAGCAATGCGCAAAAGCAAGACAGCCATTGTGGAGAAAAAAGCGGGTAGACTAGAGTATCAGCCGCAGCCAACTTTAAGCCGTACGAGCGTGCAAGCATCGATAACTGGCAATAAAAGATTTGACGAAAACATACACTAGGTATGTACAGCAGCGCAAAATGGAATCGAATGGAAATGATATTGCTGTGTGATATTAGTTCTATAACTTTTAGTGCTCTAAGCTTTTTCTAATGCCATTCACACAAATATAAAGAATATATTAGCGTTTACTATACTTTCACGGAATTTAAATACTACGTATTGCGCATGTCAAAACACAAGCGTGAAAGACACGCGGAATGCACAATATCTTTCCGTTCATTAAAATGTTGACATAAGTCTATTGTGTTCAGAGCTAGACAAATATGCATTAGAACATGAACATGTCGTTTTGCGCTTTTTTATGCATAAACTATTCAAATGTGAATACATCGACATAATGACAACCCCATACATTAGAGCTCGCACATCTAACTTCACGTTGCAGAAAAGGGAATCGCGAGCAAAACAAACGAGTGCGCAAGCTACAGAGAGGAAGCGAGTACACTACATTGTCCATTTGGAAAAATACGAAATCAAATATGGCGACACACTGTGCAAAAAATAATACATAGGAAAACAAAATAAAAAAAATAGACTTATATAGCAGCAAATATGTACATTTAATAACTTCCGCGCCTTCAATTTAAAAGAAAATATACGCTAACATTGCCAAACATTATGCCCGTTAGTCCCTATAAAATACTGAATTCAGTGAATGCTTCGAAATTGCGCGCGTTGCAATTGGTGAACGCCATGTTAACTTTACTCACCATTTATTTATTTTTTTGAATTCGTGTCATTTTTCAGCACATTAAGAAAATGATGGAACACTGGTTCTGGGTTTGGCGCCTTGGACGCTGTACTTCCTAATATATTTATTTTGGCTTTAAATTGTTAACACAGTTCTCACAACTTCACTTGTTTTATGCACATTTTGTATATTAATAAAACAACCGCTACTCTTCCGGTTTAAAGTTTGTTTCTTTAATTTGACGCGGCGGCGTTTTAACGTTTACTGCTTGCTAAATCAAACGTTTAATCTTTGATTAATCAATTTTATTATTAAAATGCATAATAGTAGGAAAAAGAAAAGGCGAACACGGAACGCGCACTAAAACACATACAATGCGGCAGATACATTAGTTAGAGCGAGATGGACCTAATATGAGCGCGCAGTTTAACTAGTTTTGCCCCTCTTACTTCATATTATCGGCTATTTTATTTTGTTCGCGATGCTTCTTCTTCTTTGTGTCGCACTTTGCTATGTCTTTCTTTAGCCTATTACTACATTGCCTCGCCATTCCGGAGTGTACTTTGCTGTACGTTCGTCGACGTTGGGCCACCGCTAGTATATTTATATGTATGCAACACACAAATACACTTATATCTATTGATATACGTATGTAAAATCTATACACATACATACACACGGATGTGGCGCACATATACACAAAAATAGTTAATTTACCACCAACTACTACGCGCTTTTCACATCTCAAAACTGATAAACAGAAAAATTTACTAAACTCCTAGTCTATAACTACACACAAGAGCTTGATGTGCTTGTCACGGAGCCTTAATACTCACATACATGCAAGTCTTCTGAAATGAATTCGGACTAGTTTCAGCTATGCACATTAAATAAAACAAGAAGTGTAAGACGAGAAATTAAACTACTTTTTGTACAATTCTTGCTTCTTCTGCTTGCAGATCGCTTAGCACGCACACACATAGCTACTATATATATTTATACTTATATATATATGGACCGCTGGTAGCGCACTAGCGACATCTCGCTCTCACTTACGCTCAACACATATCTTGCATTTCACGTTGTATGTGTTTTTCATTTTTCTACACGCTAATAAGAAGTATTTTAAACTACATTAAAACAATTAAATAACACGTTTCACAATTACGTTTCATATTGAAGCGCGGGCCGCACTAGAAAACTGTATTAAAATCCCGCTTTTACAATTATTTTCAATATTAATGAGCGAGCTACAGTGCACACACTTGCCTTTTGCGTTAGCTAGTGATGTAAAAATACAACCAGACATCGGTATCTAAAAAATCGATGGACACGATGACTTTGACAAGTGTTGGTAAACATTCTCTGCATAGTCGCTAGCGATACATAAACCAATACTTTATCGAATCGATAAGAGGGAGTGGGCAGTTCCAACATTGATAAGATACATAGATGAAATAAACAAACAATAACGGCTATGGAAGTCAATCCGTTGGCTGTAATATTGGTGTATTTTGACAGTAAAGGCGATCGACTGCTGTTTCGCTACCCTACGCATACGCACCAGCTAGGCGAGGAGTTAACCCTGACCAGTAACAAGAAGAAACGCAACCCCTTTGCGGTTCACACAGACGACCATGACGACCAAACACCTAACATTAGCGCAGCCAAAAGCCAAGGAGGTCAACTACAAGGATTTTCCGACGATGTGCTATCCACGCTGTTTGCCGTTAAACCGCAACTGTGTAACCAAAAGTTTGAGTTAAAGCTCAACGATGTACGCTTCGTTAGCCACCCAACCCTTATACCGCACAAGGAGCAGCGTCCCAGCAACGCCGGAACAAGTGCGCCTTCGACGACATCAAATGCGTCTTCGACATCGCCAGCGAATGCAGTGGCCAATGTAGCAAAGAAGCAACAAATGTTGATTAACATCGTCTTTGCGTTGCATGCTAAGGCCAGCTTTTCCATAGTTAAGTGCTATCATGAGCTGAGCAAGCGTCTGGGCGTGGCCCTCAAGTTCGAAGAGCAACGTAGTGGCTATCTTACCGAGGAGACGTCGCAAATGGCTCGAACCCACGACGAACAGCAGCCGGTGGAACGCACCTTTGAGTTAATCGCTGAACGCTGTAGTCTGGCGCAGGCGCTGAAATCCATCTACCATGATCTGTGCACTACAGGCCTGCTGAGCACGACACTCAATCAAAATCTGACACTCAGTTTCTGTCTACCGCAGAAAGCGCATCAGCTGCACAAGAAAGGCAGCATGGTGGACCCCGAAACGATAGATCGCTGCCTGCGCTCCCTAAAGCCCTACCACGGCATGCTGTTACTGGTGGATTTCGCTGAGCTCCTCGATTGTGTACCACCCACAGGCGCACGCATGCTTCTGCAGCTTGTCGAGGTGTACACACCTCTAATGAGTTTACAGAGCATGGCCTCCGATGCGGATCTGGGCATCGATCATGTGTACAAGCTTGTCTCGCATCTTGTCTACTGGGCTAAGGCCACCATTATCTATCCGCTGTGTGAGACCAATGTCTATGTGATTGCGCCGGATGCGCCACTCCATACCAAGTCCCATTTGGTCGAGAAGTTCTCAATGCGGTTTGCGGGCATGTCTCTATTCGAAGTCATCTCGGACTTTTCGCTGCCCACATCTATTGGACACTTAACCACACCGTTGCAGCAGCCAGCACGGCAGGGAATTCTCGCCCAAATGGTTCTCTGGATGTTGCAACACCATCTACTAATGCAGCTGCACACTTACGTGCAGTTTATGCCGAGCGACGATGCCGACGAGTTTTCAGATGCGGCAACCGCCGCTGCCCAACCGCCAGGCTCTAACTACGTCCTGGGAAGTTGTGGCAATCTTACAGAGGACGATGATGATCCCTTGCATGGGGGCTCCATGTTGAGCATGTCTAGCCAGCCACTGCCCGTGCCGCACATCCATCGACGCAGCATCCAGGAGGATCACTTCTCTGTGGGCGACGGCTCTTTAGCTTCGGACAACATTGCGGTGCAGCCGTCTTCCAGCCATAAGTCCAATTTCAGCATGACCGCCTCACTTAGCACGGACAACTGCGACGAGGCAAGCATCGATTCCATGGACGAGCAAAAGATTAACGAACTACTGCAAATTTTCGACGATGCCGATCGCGCAGCTATTCGCCGCATTCCTGCATCCCTCAACATCGACGATCTCTCCCTCATGGTCAAGCTCTATCAGATGGGCTATTTTAAGAGCGAACACCATCTTGAGGAGATCATGTACTTTGAGAATTTGCGCCGCTCACAACTCCTCCAGTTGCTGGACAAGTTTCGGGATGTCTTGATAATATACGAGACGGAAGATCCGGCCATTGCGTCCATGTACAATAATAAATAGCAGGCGGAGTGCTAATCTGTAATATTATTTTAATAGCCTTAGCTTAATTACAGTAGAGTTGTGAACATTTGAAAGTTTTAAAACAGAATGATTATTAGATAATCCCTTTCAAAATTCGAAAGATAATATGTAGACTGCCACATTGGATGCAAAAAACTGATTCACGTTTCAATTTCTTAAAGAAAGTTGTTAATACTACTAAATTCTATTGCTTAAAGAAAAATATTCATTACGAGGGATTTGCTCAATCGACAATTAACTCGTATATTTGTATAGCAATTTAAAGGCCAGCTAGGGAATTATATGAAAATTTATGTATTATTTCGAGAAAAATTTCAAATGATTTTTATTGTATGTTACCTTTGTGGAAATGATTAATATTTTTTAAGGATAAGCGAACCAAAGTCAATAAAAACTTCGTACCTACCCGAGCAGTAAAAGTATACTGCTTTACAATTTTAAATTTGCCAGGTAAGATTTTGAGAGGTCTATTAAATAAGTATTACATTTGATCTGTTCCTTGATTTTTATTCTATTCCAATTTTATAGTTCTTTAATATTGGCAAGCAATAATATAATAATATTCCGCAATCACCTCGTAAGCGGGTCAAATATCACTAAATTTACATGCGAGTTTTTGGATTAAAAAGCTCCCCAATAATTGTTATTAGTTCCTATTTCAACCATTTTATATATAATAGACTTTTATTTCCAATCCGTTGGATCATTTTAAATGGAATTATAGGTTGGGAATAAATTTAAAAACTGCTCCGAAAATATTTGAAAACTGTCTCAATGTAAATTGATCCGAAAAATAAAACATTCAACATCAGATGACTGACTGATATATGTACATTAAGCATGGATTTTATTGATTATTTTAAGAAAACCCTAACTAATATGTAAATATTGTTTTGTGAGTGAATCCGTTTGGATAACTTTCATTAACTAGGTGAAAATCTCATATAACTAGTTAATAGGCAGCATATAATTTCTCTGAAACATTTCGTATACTATTATGCTATGACAATCGGATATGACTAAATTAAACGGCTTACAAAAATATATATATTTATGTGTAATGCATACAACAATTCTTGTATGCATTCGCTACTTGCTATAAATAGTATGTATATTTATATATAAATTTAAGTAGTAAGCACAGCCCGCCACTTGCCAAAGAGCTAACGATTAGATTAATATGTTAGTTAACACTTGACGCTAGGACTTGTTGTTGTTATTGCAGCTGTTGCTAATGTTATTGTTGTACAAATAGGGTATGAGGTTTGGTTCGATTTCCAGCTGCTGCCTGAGAATGGAGCTCATCACAAACTCCGTGGAAACAATGTGGCATTTGGGGTTACCGTGCCGCGTGAGATCAGCGCACAGATGCATATCGTTCGGACACGTGACAATGAAATAGGAGTCTGGCGACTGAGCATGCGCCTCGGCGACAGAAGCTCCAGAGCGTCGCCTTGCCTCCACCTTGCCGCCAGAGGACTCTATCATGCGTACGATCTCGTCGCGAGCGGGAAACACATCGGGCGTCACAAAAAAGCACTTGCCGGCAAAGAGGGAGGAGCGAGTGGGAGCGTTCAGCACAGTGTCCAGGTCGAATTGCAGATTCTCGTCGACTGGAATGTGATTGATGCGATACGCATCTGTCTGCACAAACTTGCCCGCCTTGGCGCTATCGATGAGCCAATTGGACTTAAGTACGTAATCAACATGGCAGCAGGCCTGAATCAGCTTGCACGTGCGACTCTCGCGCGTCATCACCAGATGTGTAGCTTCCGTGGGACTGTCCACAACAATGCCGCCAAGTAGTCTATTAAATACAAATTATATATTTATTTATACTTTTAATTGGTGTCCTTCTTAGCTCCCTCTATCTCTACTTACACAACTGCCTTCTTCAGCGACTCCGCATCGGCGACCTGCGAGAAAATTACTTTCGGTGGCTTCGTCGTTTGCGGATACTCAATGCATACAATTTGTTCGGGCAATTCCTCCGGATATAGCGCAAGTTTTTGGCGTTTCAGCTTCTGATCATTGAATGGATCCGCAAGGTGACGTTTGACACGCTCATGCGCTTCCTGTGTGAGGTTTATGGGTGCCTTCCAGGCAGCTATCAAATTCAAATCAAAATTTAGTCCATTAGTTTCAGTTGAAAACATTTTAAGCGTATTTGTTTGAGAAAGTAAAAAACGAAATGGCCTTTTCTGTTGCCATCTTGAGTAAAGGCTGAGCCGTTGAGATCCTTAAATAGAGATTTTTATTTGTTTATTCTATTTTAATTCCTTTTCGAATATTTAATTCGTTTTGTATTGTTTACAGATGAAATCGGAATCGTTTTGTTAATAAACGCACAGAACAGGCTTTCGAAAGTGGTTTCGCAAATGTAAACAAGATCTAACATGATGACATATCAGCTTAGTACACTGCGTGTGCGTGCATACTATTGTTCAATCAATTGTTCACTCATCTCATAGCCCGTATTGTTAGGGCCCAGATGCTTTTAGAAGTGAGCTTCTTAGCTTAGGAATTAATTCACCCTCTAAAATAGAGTATATTGAAAACCTAAATAATACCCAATTTTATGAATTACTTTTTCTAGCCCCACAGCAAAACTTTTGAAACCGAAAAACCTTGTAATTTATCATAATTGAGAACAATCGCCACATCGATTTCGAAAACGGGCAACAGGCCTTGTGCCTTCTCTCGCATCTTCATGGATTGAGAAAATGCCCTTATCAAGGCAAAACATCTGACGCCGAATATCTCAGTATGTTGTCGGAGCAACTACCAATTTAGATCTGAATAATTTTATGAAATTTATGGCCAACTCTAATTTTGTGTGATCCCTATCTTTAGCGTCGATTCGATTTATTGTCAACTTACCCAACAAGTGCGGCACCAGACCGTAGTCGATGCGGAATGGCGATGGCATATTGTATTGCTGATACTTTTGATTGTCGTACTGGGTAAGCCCGCTTAGATTGCCGATGCAAACATCGCTCAGCCAGAGGGCATTGACCATCGTTATGTTCCATTCCTTGGCCGCATTGAACTTGTTCCCCTCGAGCTTCTTGCAAACGACCAGCGTATTGACTCTGGACAGGTATGAGGTGTAAATGGCGCCACACTCCTCAGCCATCTGCTGCAGCCGTATTACCTCTTCACCCTCGAAGCCCTCCGAGGTGATGATGTATCGTTCCAGCGGCTTGCGATATCCAAACTGGCTGGGGAAGGGCAAATGTAGGGGCTGCCATGGCGGCATTAGTTGACGCTTCAGACAAATGTCACTTAGCCAGTAGGCCGTCACACAGCGTTTGGCGTCGCGCAGGGCCTGCATAACGACGCCGTGGCGCTGCGTGCGACAGATAACGTGCGTGACACGCGGGCAATAGACACGTTCAATATCGCCGCCAAATTGGCGAATAGTGTCCAGCCAAATGGGCAACTCATCGCCGTCCGTCTCATCGTACTCGACGATATAAAAAGTGCAGCCGACCAGGAAGAAATCGCCGGGCAGCTTTAGATTGGGATTATGGCCATAGAACTGAGGTCGGGGTGGCATCGGCAGTGGCTGACCCGTGCGAGCTTGCATGTAGGCGTGAGCAGGCATGCCCGGTGGACCGGCCACGGTCAATTGCTGAGGCGGCGGCGGCTGTTGCGGCGCATGATGGACGGCATGCGGATGCTGAGGTGTCTGTGGTGGTGCCACCACAATTTGCTGTTGCACCAGATGTGGTGCGCCCAGCTGCTGTTGTTGTGCCACATTGACTACGCGCCGAATCTGCTGCTGCTGCTGTTGTTGTTGTTGCAACAATTGCTGCTGCTGATGCTGCTGTTGTTGTTGTTGCTGCTGTTGCAACATCAGCAACTCCTGCTGGGTTCGTGGTGGTCCAGTCATCACCTGTGGTGGCTGCAGAGCGGCATTGTGTTGCTGGCCCATTAGGCGCAGTGCGCCTGCGGCCGAAGGCGGATCCACAGGCTGCTGTTGCTGGGGTTGTTGTTGTTGCGGTGGCGCAACAACCACTTGTTGCACAATTTGCTGTTGCATCGGCGGCTGTTGTTGCTGCTGCTGTGGATCGCCCACAAATTGTTGCTGTTGTTGCATTTGGCCGCCATTATTGCCCAAACGGTTACTCAACATGTTGGCCAGAGCGGTTTTGGTCTTCGGATTCATCGGTTGCGGTGTCTGTGGCTGTCCATCAGGGCCTGTGGATTATCAAAGCAGAATGTTAAAGTTGTCCAAGCTCGGATAATTTATATCAGTAACTGCCTCTGTGTTTCAACTAAATTAAACTTTCATGCACAGACCGTTTCTATGGCACCTATATGAATGTTCTTGACTTAATAAATAAAAAATAAGTTAAATTTGCTAAACATATCTGCAGCAACAAAAGAGTTGTTTTAATACTCGATCTACAGCTATACAAAATATAGGGATAGGTATGGCTTAAAATAAACAATTCAGGCGGACTTGTCTATATAAGTAGATACGTCTTGGCCTTTTAGCATACTCTCTTAGCGCTCGGGTACAAGGTACAAAAACCAAAATAAGAAATATCATTCCATTGAACATATAACATAGACTTACCCGTTGCTGCCATAACAACAGTTTGGGGTGCGAGAGCCGTCATTATGTTGACACCACCAGCAGCTCCTGGGGTGCCTGGTGTAGTGGGAGTAACGGGCTGAACTATGGTCTGCTGCTCGATAATTTGGCCATTCGGTCCAGTAATTACTTGAACCGTTTGTTGTTGCAATTTGGGGGCAACCACAGCGCCACCGCCCATCTGTAGTTGTGGGGGCAGCTGTTGCTGGGCTTGTGGTGGCTGCATGGGAATCTGCTGGACGCGCAGCTGTTGGCGCTGCAACAACATCTGTTGACTGGGATCATTGGGATTGAAAGCCTGCTGTGGCTGTGGTGGTGCGCCCGGCTGTTGTTGCTGCTGTTGCTGAGTAATGGGACTAAGGCCGGGGGCACCGCCTGCACGAACCAGCACCTGTCGCGTTCCCTGCTGCTGCAACCACAGCATTTGTTGCTGGGCCGTCAGACCACCCGGCATCTGACTCTGAACAATGATGTGTGGGGTGCCGGGGCCGGCAGCACGTGTGGCGACCACCCCGGGTGCTCCTGGACGCGGCTGGTATGCCACTTGCTGGCGCAGCATAACTCTGGGCTTGGCCTGATTCAGTTTGGTGATGTATTCGGCACGCTTGTGCGCATCCAAGGACATGAAGTGGGCGTGCGTTTTCTCGTCCAGGTGTATGAGTTGTCGTTGCTGTTGCTGCTGCGGCGGAAGTCCTATTGGTTGTCCTTGCGGCTGCTGTGCGGGCATTTGGCCAGCGGCAATCACAGCCGGTGGCAACACGATTTGCTGCTGTTGAGGCTGCTGCTGTGGTTGTTGTGGTGCTTGACCAGGTTGTGGCGGTGGCACTTGCTGTTGCGTCTGCCAAGGCGTTTGAGGCCGCATGCTACGTGCGAACTGCCCCAAAGGACTTTGCAATTGTTGCTGTTGCTGCTGTTGTTGTTGCGGCGTTTGTGGGCCAGACAATGGGGATTGCATGCCTTGCATACCAGCCGTGCTGGTGGGGGTGCCGGGTGTGGTAGGCTGCTGCGGTTGAAGCTGCGCTTGCGCCGGACTTTGTGGCGACCAGTGGGGTTGTTGCATTTGCGCGTGATGCTGTGGCGATTGTTGCTGCTGTGACTGTGGCGATTGGGGCGGCGGCGTACGCTGTGGAAGTTGTTGCTTTATCAGCACTTGTTGCATGATTGCCGGATGTTGCTGTTGCGGCTGCTGCTGTTGCACGGGAGGTGCCACAAGTGGCTGCTGTTGCAGATATTGCAAACGTGGATCGTTGATAAGTTGTTGATTGATCACAATGGGATGTTGTTGCTGCTGTTGTTGCGCTGGCGGTGGCAATCGTTGCGGTTGCTGCGTTATTAGCTGATGTTGAATTTGTTGTGGCACCTGTTGTTGTTGCTGCTGCTGCTGCTGTTGTTGTTGTTGTTGCTGCAGTACCAGCGGATTGGTATTCTGTTGCAACATTTGTTGCTGCTGTTGCTGCGATATATTCGTTTGATTTACAATGAACACATTTTGATTCTGTTGATTCTGTGCCAATATGTGTTGCTGTTGCTGCGCGCTCAGTTGATTGAATTGCTGCTGACTTATAATAAACTTTTTACTTTGCGGCTGCATGGGCTGCTGTTGCTGCGGTTGCAGCGGCTGCTAAATAATGTAAAGGATTAATCATTTCTCTAGTTAACAATTTATGTGAATCGTGAATCCACAAACCTTATTCCACGCTCCTGATGCATCCTTAACCAGCGCCACTTGTTCCTCTTCCGTTTCGGCACCGGTCCTTAGGCCCAATTGTCTGGCGAATCGCGGCTGCATCGGCTGCATGGGCTGTTGAGGCTGCTGCTGAAAGTTTCCCACAAGCTGTTGCTGTGCAGTTGCTTGCGATTGCTGTTGAACTTGCTGGGGCTGCTGTTGTGGCGGTGGCTGTATAGTTTGCTGTATAATTCTCACTTGCCCGCCACTGCCTAGCGCTATGTTTTGCTGCTGAGTGAACTGCACCTGTTGATGTTGCTGTGGCGGTGCTTGTTGTGCCGCCGCCGTTTGTTGCTGTTGCGGCTGTAGCTGCGATTCCACTAGTCCCGCTTTCTGCTGTTGCAACAACTGCTGTTGCTGCTGCAATTGCAAGATCTGCTGTTGCTTCTGCTGTTGTATGTTCATCATATGGCTCTGTATAATTTGCTGGCCTTGCGCCGTCGATGTATTGATCACATGCCGTTGTGTGATAACTTGCTGTTGTGCCTGCACATGTTGCTGTGGCGGTTGTTGCTGCTGCTGCTGCTGTTGGATCGCCTGCTGTGGCTGTGCAGTTGAAGGAGATTGCCGAGCTGCAGGCACATGCTGTTGTTGTTGTAGCTGCTGCTGTTGTTGTTGTTGCTGCTGCTGTTGTTGTTGTTGTGCCATAGGCTGCTGTTGCTGGAGACCTATAAATAAAATAAGCATAAAGTTGTGTATGAAGTAATCATAAAAATAATCTACATGTTATTTCAATGTTCGTTGTTTCAATCACAAAAAAACTAAAAGCCAATTCGTATTATTTTAGCAGTCGGCTTTGGATGTTGGTTGTAGTATAATACTATAATTTAGTATAACGAATTTTATCAAATTTGTGTGCAAATACTTTGCCGGTCTGGCCATAGTTTGCTCACTTTGAAATGCATCTGTCATCACTTTCATGAAACGGAAAAATTTCGAACAAACTACTCACAAAGTTGGTGAGAAATTTGTATATGTTATCGGGGAGACGCAAAGAGCTGAGCGCGATTACGTGCGTGATTATGCAAGCTCAGTTTTGTAAAAGTGACTCATAAAATTAATATTTTAAGGTGGAGATCTTGCTTTACCTTGTTGCTGTTGTTGTTGCTGCTGCTGCTGCTGGAGTAGCTGTTGCTGCTTGAGCTGCTGCTGTCGCATTATCAAAGAGTCCTGATTTGAGCTAAGTGCCGAGCGACTTAGCACTTGCGCCACCTGAACAGGATCTGTGGGATCGATTGGTTTCTGTTGGGCATAGGATTGCTGTTGTTGCGGCTGTTGCTGCTGCTGTTTGGTTTGCATGGGAGGTGTTTGTGAAATTTGTGGTGATTGAGGCGCTGAAATGTGTTGGGGACTCTGCTGCTGTTGCTGTGCCAACTGCTGTTGCAGCTGCATGCGTTGTTGCTGATGCACGGGCTGCTGAAAAGGCTGTTGTGGCGACATCATTGGCTGCGGAGGCTGTTGCTGTTGTTGCTGGTGCTGCGGCGAGCCCATCATGTGCTGCTGTTGACGATTTTGTTGGTTCTGCTGACGTAAATGTTGTTGCTGCTGCATTTGCGGCGATGGCGGTGGTGGTGGTGTCATCTGAGGTGCTGGCGATTGCAGCTGGCGGGGCGACTGTGGTGGCAACATGTTAGCGGCCACCATATTCGGCTGTTGTTGCTGCTGCAACGATGGTGATGGCGTGCTAGGTGGCATGACGACACCCATGTTCTGTTGTTGCTGCTGTTGATAGGACGGCGATGGTGTGCCAGCTCCCATATTGGGACCAACTTGCTGCATTGACGATGTGGGTGTGTTTGGTGTCATTATTGGCGATCTATTTTGCACCATTCGTGGTGATTGTTGCTGCTGTTGTTGTTGCTGCTGCTGTTGTTGTTGTTGTTGTTGCTGCTGTATATGAAGCTGAAGCTGCGTCTGCTGTTGAATAAGAGACTGTTGTTGATGCTGAATCTGACGTTGCAAATTTTGCTGTTGCGGCGTCACACTTTGCCCGCTTTGTATTTGCTGTTGCAGTTGTTGTTCTAGTTGCATTTGTTGTTGCTGTAGTCTATGTTGTTGGCGTATTATGTGTTGTTGCAACACTTGTGGCGGCACTTGCTGAGGTTGTTGCAGTTGCTGTATTAACGAAAAAATCAAAATAGTTAAAAAGAAACAAGCAATCGATATTATAAACTTTATAATAAAAGGGCCGGTTTTGTATAGGTTTGAGCGATCTGAAAAATGTAACAGACAGAATGCGTGGCAGACCCCACAAAGTATATACATATGTTCTTGATCAGCGTGACAAGACGAGTTGATCTAGCCATGTCTGTCAGTCTGTCCGTATGAACACCTGGATCGCAGAGACTATAAGAGCTAGGGATACAAAATTTTGCACAAAGATGCCTTATGTGTGTACGCTGTGCAAATTCCCTACGCATGTCGATAGTTTATTAGATTTCAAAACTTTTTTAAAAACTTGAACAACTTCAAAATCTTTATTACAACGTCTTGTTTATTTGTCCCCACAGCCTATGTTTTCAAATATATAAACCAATAATCAATATCTGTTTTACATACTCTCTCAATTTTTTTTTTTGTAAATTTTCATTAAAACCAAATCCGCAAGCTAATGCGCAAAATACTATGTTTTTTTTTTTTATCAACAAGATAATATGATTGAATTTATGTATATATAAAATCTTAATGAAATATTTTTCTATAAATATAAATATTTAAAAGCTTCATATTGTGAAGTTTCTTGGGAAGGATCCTGTTCTTCAACTCGGGTTCGCGCGTTTTGTAATATATTTTCTAGTGTTTTCAAATCACACACTCACCTGTTGTTGTTGTGGTTGCTGTGGTGTTAGTTGCTGGATGGGTTGCTGTTGTTGCTGCTGGGGCGTCATAGGTGCACCTTGCTGCTGTCCGGCCATTCCTTGTGGCGATTGAACTGGCGTCAGGGGGGGTTGTGGTGTGGTCGAAGGTTGTGGCGTGCGCGGTGTTTGACGACCCGACGGCGATGGTTGTGGCGTGCGTGGCGGTGCAGGCGGTTGAACCATGTTAGGTGTTGTAGGTAATCTTGGTTGAGGTAAAAATTGCTGCTGTTGTTGCTGCTGCTGTTGTTGTTGTTGCTGCTGCTGTTGTTGCTGCTGCTGTTGTTGCTGCTGTTGTTGTTGTTGCTGATCCTGTTGCTGCTGTTGTGGACTTTTCATCATTTGACGCTGCTGTTGTTGCAGCATATTGGCTGGTATGATTTTTTGTTGTTGTATAATGATTTGTTGCTGCGGTGCACCCTGTTGTTGCAACTGAAGCTGCTGTTGTTGATGCTGCTGCTGTAATTGTTGCTGCTGCTGCAAGTTACGTGGACGAACGAACACGACTTGTTGTTGTGCCGACATGGATAAGTGCTGCTGTTGTTGTTGCTGCTGGTGCTGATGTTGTTCTGCTGCCATAGTAACCCGCTCTGCCGATGCCTGCAATTGCGATTTGATGCTAGCAATGCTTTTGGCTGCCGCACTGTCATCAACTTTGCTCCCACTTGGCAAGCTTTCCGCTAGTCCGAGTATGTCCGAAAGGGTTGATGAGCTCGATTGCTGCAATATATGTTGCTGCTGATGCTGCTGTTGTTGCTGCTGCTGCTGTTGTTGTTGCTGATGCTGCGCCGATGTAGCCTTTAGTGCGCGCGATTTCTCCACAGGCTTAAGAAGACGCGGATGGTACGGATCGCATTGCAAACTAGTCTGACACTTAAGGCAGTCCGTAACCCAGTCGGGGGTTACTATGCTTATAGCATTCTTGGGGAGCGCCAGCGCTTTCGAGTAAATGCCACCAGTGGCAGCACCGCACACAAGATGTGTGTTTGTCGCCCCAAAGCTGTGCGTAACAACAGCACCTTGGTATGTGAGCATCGCCGAAAGGCGACGTCGATCGCTTGCCACTACATTGGTAATGGCAACGCGTATGCCGCGCAAGAATCGCGGTTGGGTGGGATCGAACGCACGCGTCGAGGCCATGCGGCCCAGCTTGGCGCTGTGTATTATCCATTGCTCTGTCACGGGTATCACATTGTAGAGGTCAACGTTCATGGACAGCTCCTCCTCGGAGTAGTTGGGAGCGCATATTAAATGTGTAATTTGATCGCACAGGTACTTCTTTGATTGTGCACCGCCGTTCTTCAATAACTTCTCAGTCTTACATGCAAAACAAAATCAAAACATTAGTTGTTGTCGTACATATGATTCTCACACACACACACACACACAACTCTTATCGTACACAAAGTCAAACCGGCAACATGTTTTCGCGCGCCTTTATTACGTGTGCTCGGCACACCCTGTGCCAAACAAATTTATTTGGATTTTGAATTACAATATTTGGTGCCTCCAAACAAGTAATGCACATTTAAAGATATACTACTGATTATTGCTAGGCGCATTTTTCTTTCTCGTTGTCGGTTGTACAAAATGCCGCTTTCCATCACTCACACACAAACACATACACACTCACACAGGCACACATGCACTTAGGGGCTTCGCCGCCACTGCAGCAAATTTTTATAACAATTTACCTCATCATCCAAATTTCCAACGACAAAGTAAATTACTTTATCAAACAACTTATCACTGATTTTTAGATTTTCCATTTTATTGGCTTTTGTATAAACTTCACTCTTCCCAATGCGCCCTTCGCCAAGCGTTCTACACTTTTGTTGTTACTGTGGCCGCGCTGGCGAACACAACACATCGACGCGTTTGCGAAAAACACCTCTAGAAGTAAATCACAGTTTCCCGAAAAGCAAAGCACGAGGGCAATTGAATTACAAATTGTATGTAAATAAATTAATTGTTTAAACAATAATTTCTCTTGTATTTTGTCTGCCCTACAACCCCTATGCGGACAACGCTAGTGTACTGCCCACCTGGCGAAAAACGACTGCAACACCTATATATCGATAACTAACGATAGTCCTCGATTTCATAGTCCCCGCACGCCAATGAATTGAACACACATAAATATTTATACGTGCATGAGTGTGTTTCTCTGAGAGAACAGATCGAGTATCTCTTAGGCAGTGTATAGGGAAGTTATTGTTTATTGAACTTAAGGTGCTGAACATTTTGTTACGTTGCAAAAAAAACCTGGCGTTGCAATACCTTATAATTATTCAGGCATGGTAAGTATACTACAACATATATTTGTTTATGGCAATTGTTTTTTAACTTGATTTTTTACTTTCAGTAAACTGATCTCTACAATATCTCATGGACTGTATATATTAGGAAATAATGTAGTGTACTTGTTTTAAAATGAAAGACTGTAAAAACATTGTTGACCTAAACTTGGATATTCTGCAATTGATTTTTGATCAACTTACAAGGGTCGATCAGCTAAATTTGGCCCGGACTCATCCAATTTTTTGCGATGCATTCGCCTACCTGTACCGAGAAAAACTGTTCAAGGAAGTCTACGAGTTTCAGCTGCCAACTGTTGAAGATTGGCGCTACTTCCTACCCCTGTGCGGGTCTGGCGTCCAATCCCTCTATACTTACTCGTGCACAGATCAGATGGTGGAGCTGGCCTTACAATTTTGCCCCAAATTGGAGTTAATATCAATACTTTCTTATGGATTCAGCAACATACAGCACAATTTGCTACAAATAAAGACTCTGCAGGAAATCGAACTGATCAATTTTTCTAGCCAGAAAAACAGCCTAATTGAGCTTTTACATGAGCTGCCTAAACTGCGAATATTAAGACTTAAAAATTGTAAATTTGATGACCGTAAGTCTCATGGAAATCCATATTGATGGCATATTTTATAATAATGATTTTTCATTTAGTTTTTCAAATAAAATACTTGACCCAATTAGAGGAGCTTGAAGTGCGCTTGAAGCACGATTGCTATAAGAAAAAACCGGTAACGGAAATAGATAGTCACGAAATGATGCAAGATCTTCCAGATAGACAACAATTTGAACAATTTTTGGATATATGCGAACCGTTGAAGAAGCTTCGTTCACTCTCTATCAATTTGCCACATATCGACGCAAAAGCAATTCAAGAATTGTCCCTTAAATGTCCTCTATTGATTAACCTTGAACTGTGGATGGATGTGGCTATTGATCGGTCGGAGTTGCCAATTATACCGAAGTTAAATCTAACTTTGCGTAAATAGGAATAATTTTTTTTTTTGAATTCTTTCTATAGTCTTTAAATAATACAATGCTCGCTGTTAGAGAACCTGGAAGCCTGGATAGATGATCGCACAAACTGCCAATTATGCCGAAGTTAAAACTAACTTTTTGTACACGGCATTTAAGAGTTAACATTATTTTTTCTAATGGACTTTGCCATGGAAAAATGATAGATGAGGAATGATCATTTAAATCCTTTCAAAAAGTATTAAGAGCAATATGAGACACTAATTTAAAATGATTTAAATAATATATATTTGTTGTTGAACTGGCTTACAAATATACAATATTTTATGTGACCATTAATCTTACAATTTACATCTAGAGTTTTTACAATTGTTTCGTAACACATAAAAGACATACAGAACATATTTTTTTTAAGCAAGTTTTTCTGATTCTTTACGGTTTTACAATTTTTTTGTTGCTTTAATTTTCTCATATGATTACACAATGCCATATTGATGTTTGCAATTTTTTTTTTTTTTTTAGACATCTATAATTTTTATTGCCGGAGCTTGCAATAAGCCGGTGTAAAACTTTTAATGAAAAAAGTGCACGAATTGTTACATTATTTGGATTTTGTTTTTTATTAATATTATTGTTGTTGTTGTGCTAAAGAAGTGTGGGTGTGTCAGCCCTCAGCCCTTTCCTGGAGCGGTAGCGGCCGCTGCTTGTTCGAATTTCATGTCATGCAAGACGACATTTTTCATCAAAATAAATCACGAGGCGCTGTTCGTTTCGCCGTTGCTCTCGTGGAAGTTGCTTCCATTCACTATAAAGGAGGTGCCCAGTCCGTACAGGTGACCAGAGTATTTCGCATGATCAATATTGTCCTCGAAGAACATCTGCAAAAAAATTGAAAATTTAAATTTTGCACTTAAGAAATTATTCACTGAAATTCTGAGAAGAATATTGGGGTTATGAGGGTTGCTATCTAATATGTGAGTGAAAATTAAAATGGTATGATTATGGAATTATTTTGCAGGTAGCGTTAGTCAAAAAAACGGTGTTAAAATATACATAGAAAGAAAAACAATCACAAGTTCTAAACAACATTTAAAGGTTCATATATAAACAATATTTAAATTACATACCGTTTACTAATTAAGTTTTTTGTTACCAATTTTGTGGTCCTCTTCAGAAGTCTTTAGTTTTGTTTAACAGTTTTTAAAACACTTGAATCGTAGTGTATTAGAATACGCAGACGATTAATTGTTTAAAATATAATATTACCTCATAAACATTCGGTAAAAAACTTAATTGCAAACTTAAGATTACAATAACAACCGATCAACGATAATCGTTTAGGAAGGAAATTATAGGTTAACTAACATCTGACTACTAGAAATCCCCATCTACAAATTCGAATCAACAAAGAGAAGATTAGAACATAAGCAAGCTCAATAGCTCAATGTAGATGCTTCATACATTTTGTAAGACTATCTACCAACTTAAATTATTTGAAACCGTGTGATATACCTAAGTTGCCCCAACAATGTTAGGCCACATTTATAGTTATAAATCAATAAAATAGGGTAGTATATGAATATTTAAAAATATAAAACAATTCGAACTAAGCTCTGTACATGAAAAACACGATATGAACGTGTTTAAATACAGACTGAAAGAAAATCCAATCTAGTGAACAAAAAACAATAGGATTAATACATCCAAATATACCAATAAAAAAACAAAAATTATTATAAAAAGTAAAAAAGAAAGTTAATTTTGATTCTTTAATTTTTCATTCAAATTCAACGAATTCTTTTTTCTTTCTTTTTTTGTTTTTCTTTAAGCGTAAAACTAGGTGACATTGTTGGGTCACATGATTCAAAACAACTGTCACTTACTAACAAACTTGTAAGGGTTGTTCATAATTTGTTTTTAGTATTTAACAAAGTGTGTGTACATGTGTGTGCTGGGTATAAGATGGATATACCCTTTAAGCTAATTAATGCATGCTGCGCATATCAAATAACAAAATCCAATTCCATGTGTTATACATATAATACTCTTATGTACAAATGCAAAAAAGTAGCAATGAAAAAAACTCATGCCATGAAATTCAATTTCATGTGCGTGTGTGTGATGATGTATGAATTGAGCCCAAAACCGCATGAGATGATGCCAAGCGAAGCAAAGCTTTTCGTGCTTTTTAAAAAAACAAGTTGCCTGCTTTTCCTAACTGGCCAACCCGAAGCATAAGCGGCAGCAGGAGCGGCAATAACAGCAACAACAACAACTGCAGTTTAAGGACGCTGATCCGTATTAGTTCTGTAGGTAAGGCTCGCACTGGGATTAGTGACACGCGGAAGTTCGTGTGTACGGGTTTGTGCAATTACGGTCAGGGTGAGACCCAATGGGGAGCTTCTAGCCATTATGTTAGTTACAGTGGAATTCACATCGACCTGGACTGCCTCAGGCGTTGTAGAGCTTTCTCTGGGGGTCAAAATGGGCGTGCCGCTGGTATCGCTACCCGCTGGCGTTGCTGATGTTGTCACAAAACTGTTGCAGCAGCTGCAGCTGCTGTTAACGTTGCTGCCATTGCTGCTACTGCTGTTGTTGTTGTTGATGCATGCCGCAACTGCTAAATCCTCTTCTACTCTTTTGACCATCGCACGCACCACACTTACAACAGTTTTCAATAGCATGGTATGGTCAAGCAAATAGGGAAAGAATATAGCGGGCGGTTCAACTAAATACAATTCATTTGGGTGTACCTCACGCATTTTGAAGAAAGCCATGCCCGTCAGCAGTGCATCGGAACCGGCCTGATGTTGGGGACCCACGCGACGCAGCTCCAGCTGATCGGCCACCTCCTGGAGACCGCCCTTTAGATTTTTGCACGACTTCATAAGATATTTAATGTCGAAAATGTTGGGAAAGTAGATGTGAAGCAGATCGAAGAAATCGCTCTCGTCAGCCGGCAAATTTTGATCCGTGAGCAGCTTTAGCAAATACCCGAAATCGTAGCCAGAGTGAAAGCATAGCCACTTTATGTTATCTACTAGCACAATGCCGGAGGACATAAGCAGTTCGGCAAACTCAATGGGATCGATGCCATCCTCCTCATGCTTCTTGAACTGTATGCCGGAGTTTTGCAGCAAATCGATCGAGTCCTGTGCATACATGTCCTCGCTGTGGGTTATTAATTATTAATTATTTTGTAAACGGCCATTAATTGCATAAAAGCTTACCTCAAATTGAATTTAAAATTGAACTGCCAGGTGGAATATCCAGGTGGCGTTTTACCATCGTCATCCATGAAGGTCAGACCCAGTTGTATGATCCGCAACAGATCCACATTGCAGCGCAGGAGCTGATAATGATAGTCGGCTGTTGATCGAAATTCACCAACAGGTCGCGCTACCACACCAGGAAATTCCGTATCCATGGCCACAAAGTGATATTTTTGCACTACTTTCCGTATCGTGCGAAACTCTTCCTCCAGATTATGTTTCCATACATCGCGAATACCGCATTCCTCATTGCTGGGTATGTGCACCTGACCGTGGGCGGCGCCACTAATGGCCGAGGGCATTGTCTGCGAAGGAGATTAAGGAGATTAACGCTTTGTTTGGAACAGGAATATGAAGCGTTTTAATTAGAGATGTTTATATCGTTATGTCTATAAATTGTTTTTGGCAATAAGAGCTGATTGTACGATATGGACATCCCTAATTCATATAAAGAGCTGAGTAGGTAATTATTGCATGTAGATTTGATTAGCAACATAATTAAATAATATTAGCTGGGCGCCAATGGGTAAACACGTTAGCCAATTAAAAATGGTTGTTTTTTTTTTTTATTTTTTTTTGGTGCTGGGTAGTTGTTGGAGCTTTTTTTCTGCATAGTAAAAAGGTGCGAAAATTTTGGCTTGACTTCATGTCGAAAGTAAAGGAAACGCACAGGAAAATTAAAACATTGTTTTTGTTGTTGTTGGCGGAATAGTGCTTGGTGTGGAGCGCTACTTACATCGTCACCGGTCGTCGTCTGCTGTTGTTGTTGTTGCTGCCGTTGCTGTTGTTGCTGCTGTTGCAGTTGCTGAACAGAGTCAGCCACGTTCCTACTGTCAATTGACTGTTGCCTGCCTATTTTGATTTTATACTCGATCTCGAAGATATGTTATATACAATGTGTATATAGACTTTGGTTTAGACTAACAAAACGAATCTCATGCGAATGTCGATTGGTGTTTTTTCTCTCTTTTTTCTTAATTTACACCAACGTTGCCTTCAATAAAACGTTGCTTCAATACACAAGCTACGGTCTTGGAGAGTTTTCATTTGGTGCGTCGAATTCCGAGCACATCAGAGGTTACTGATGTTCCTTTCTTCGAAACAATCTAATGCAATGAAATTAATTACAGAAAGCTTTGCAGAAGATGGTAATGTCATTGAAAGATGACAATAGTTTAAAGAAAGAAAAAAATAGTGTTTGAAAGGACTGAGAGTTTCTAACTGTAAACCATTTGGGCACAATTAGCATCAAAGTGCACGAGCATATGAAATGTCCATACACATAAACACATTTATAAAACAATTGATTCCGGTTACTACTTTTAAAATTGGAAAAGACAAAAATGAAAATATCTATTGTAATCCTGATTGGCAGAAAATTAGCTTCATCTGTCAATGTATTGTATTCAAAATTAAACATTGTATTTGATTGTGGCAAGTGGAACAAAGTGTCGGACAAGAGGGACGGTAGCGAATCTATTGGTACACAAGAAACTGCAACTGAGTTTCTATTGATTTTGGCGGACTTTGTTGCCCGCGTTTTGAGACATAGCTGCACACACACACAAACACAAAATGTACAGCTAGAAGGCGTAAGCTCTGCCTCTCTTCCTCAATCGCAGGCGCACTATATGATGCTCACAGATACGCAATCACACACACAATCTCGCCAATGTCGAGGGAGAGCACAATGCAGTTTTGCAAAATCAAGGCCATTAAAAAGTGCGCCCAGCGCCAACGTTTGGGGCTTTTCCAGTGGAACATCTCTAAACTTTAGAGTTCTGGCTACACTTACCCATTTCATAGTGCGGCTTCGCTTTTGATGTCGTTTGCAGTTTTTACTTTTATGTTTTTATAGATGCTATTGCTGCTCCTGCCGTTTTTCGTCGGCGACGGTGCTGCTATTGAAGGCGGCGTCACTTAATTTCTAGCTGAACAATCCCTTAATAAGTGAATAACTTAATTTGAGTATTCGCGCACTTTTTTTTATAAATGTTTACCAATAACGTTGTTTACAGTTGCGTTTTAAATGCCATAATTAACAAAATAAAGGAATTCCAACTAGTTTGGTAAGGGGCAAGTACTCTAAACAACAGTACAGTGTTGTAAAACGCTTTGACGAGATACAGGGCTGCACGCTTTGTGCTACTTTTTGGAATTTTGTATGTATGAATAAGATCCCATGGCTGATATTTAAAAAAAAAATGTTACAATTCTATGACAATAAAAGTAGAATGACAATAAAAAATTAAATAGCAATTCTCAATAAACTTTCAAGATGAAAGCAGTGTAAAAATAAATACATAGCCATATGAGCATATATCGATGAATCGATGTTTTCTTCGATAAGCAGTTGTAAAAAATAGTCTAAGAGTTACTATCGGAAGTATTTTGAATATATTTCGAACGAACAGGTTGGATGTTTACGCGTGGCGTTTTTTCGTTACGACTTGTAGCTGAATTTTTCCCCCAGATACATTGTATTAATCTGCCCAGCTTTTAAATGGTGACTGTTTACCGAGGTACTGTTTTACATACGAAATCCTTTGATGAGTTTGAAGTGTTTGACCACGGCTTCATTGCAGTTGATAATAATGGCAAAGTATGTTTAAAGTTATCAGATTAGATTACAAAGGTCATGAACATGTAATTAATATATTGCCACATTAGATAATTGGACTAGGAAAAAACTATGCAAGTTGGTTGAAGCAATACCACATTCCGGCCGAGGATTTAAGCGAGGTTCGTCTGAATGACTACCAGTTTATAATGCCTGGTTTGGTGGACTGCCACATACATGCTCCGCAATATGCTCAGCTTGGCCTTGGCTTGGACATGCCCCTGCTGGATTGGCTGAATACCTACACGTTTCCCTTGGAAGCAAAATTCTCGAACCGAAACTACGCAGAACATGTTTATAGGGGTGTTGTAGTAAGTTGTATTTATTCAATACACACAAACTTTTGATTGCTTTGCACTGCTGATGATAACGATACTATATACCAATGGGGCAAGCAATTGTACACATACATGCATACATACAGCTTAAAGTGTTATATTTCAATTTGATACTCAATAGGAATCAACGATACGATGCGGAACGACTTTGGCCTCATATTTCGCTACAAATCATTTAGATAGCACATTGATATTGGCTGAGGAAGCCCTACGTCAAGGTCAACGCGCCTTGATTGGCAAAGTTTGTTCAAATTGCAACAGTCCCGACTACTATGTGTAAGCAACAACCGATTTAGATAAAGTACTTCACATATTAAAATAATGATTCGTATACACAGTGAGAAAACAAGCGATTCTATATCATCCACGGAACTCTTCGTTAAGGCAGTACGCGAATTAAAGAGTCCTTTGATATTACCGACGATAACCCCACGATTTGCACTCAGTTGCACCAAAGATCTGCTAACCAGGCTGGGTAGCATGGCAAAACGTCTAGACGTACATATTCAATCCCACATTAGTGAGAATTTGGCCGAAATTGATGCGGTTAAGGGCATTTTCAAAACCGGGTATGCTGCAGTCTATGACAATGCGTCACTGCTGACGAAGAAGGTGAGCTAAAATATCGTTTATTGGGACTTTGTTCAAGTTTCCGTGATTGCAGACGGTCTTGGCGCATGGTGTGCATCTGGAGGATGCTGAGATTGCCTTAATCAAGGAGCGTGGTACTGCGATTGCACACTGTCCGGCATCTAACACTATGCTCAGTTCCGGAATCTGCGACGTCCAACGATTAATCAATGCAGGCGTGACTGTTGGTCTGGGAACCGATTGCGCCGGTGGCAATTCGGTTTCCATTCAGAACGCAATGCTCCGCACACTAGAGGTATCCAAGCACCTGGAATTCTTCAACAAGCAGCACATAAGCGGCAGTGCTATTATATCTCAACCAAATCCCTTATACAAGCCGTTAAAATACACAGAGGCACTGTATTTGGCAACTCTTGGTGGCGCCAAGGCGCTCGCCTTGGACCACGTGACGGGAAATTTCGTTGAAGGAAAAGAATTTGATGCACTCCTAATAGATGTGTCAATTGGGGAGAAGCCAAATCGAACCTATAACGCCACTGAACTGCTAGAGAAGTTTATTTTCAGCGGAGATGATAGAAATGTTAGGGTGGTTTTCGTTGCTGGAAAAATTATAAAAGGTTATCAAAAGTGAAATGAATTTGACATACAAATGTACGAAACTGTTTACTAACAAAACCCGAACAGTGTTAAATATATCGATATCTTTATACTTTGCATTCGATTGTTGTGATCGGCCAAACAGCTGGAATTGGTATGTTTTCGCATCAAGCAGCAAGATGTCGCTAGTGTTGCCGGCATTCCGGAGTGAGATGTACGCTAGTTTTTGTGGCAGATTTCTTTAAACCATTTCTCAAATGTAATGCGTGTGTTAATGTGATCTGCGTGAAGTGCTGGGCATAAACTGATGGTTGCATTGTTAGTTATTAAGCATTGTTGTTCACTCTGCAAGCAGCAGTGAAAGTGCTTGAGAACGGAATTTTTCAGTTCCCGCTGGTAAGTTGTTGTTTGCTAATGCTCCGCCACCTTGGCCTAATTCTATGTATTAGTGCTAAAATAGGGTCTACTTATAGAACATGTGTATGTTTTACTTGCTTTATAAATAAATTGCTGCTGAATAAATAATTTCGCATGCTTTCATGCCAGAGCGGTATGTTTACAATTGTCAGTTTTAGTTTTCTGCATTTAATGAATCAAAAACTAGTTTCGGCCACTTTATGAGCAATAATTGGCCATTGACTTTTGCCAGTAATGGCCACAGTAAAGAGATAGAGTGAAATCCATACATATGTATGCATGTATGTTCATAATTTACGTGTTTTGCTGTCAACAAATCGACATTTAAACGCATTTACTGATTTAATTGTTTGTCTACCAGCTGTTAAAAAGAGAGCTCTTTAACCCGTTGCTACCCTACCGACCATTTAATTCAACGTGCCATACATAATCAATGTTCCGGGTTGTTATCATCTGCTGATAAGAGCACATGAATGGAATTTGTTGTGTGTTAGTCTTATAGATAACATTTATTTTGCACGTCCTTGAATTCAAGTGCCAAAAATATGTTCACACTTAAGTTTTAATGAGTTTGATAAAAATGTATAATATAGAAGACAATCCATTCCGAAAAAATAACCAGATAGAAGTTTCAAACAAATAATTTGAGACTATTTTTAGAATAGTAGCATCAGTTACTAATTGATCTTGCTGTTCAAATCCAAAATGCTTTTAAGATTTACGTTATGTCTATAATTCTTTTTAAGTATATGTGGTTCTTAAGCTAACAAAAAATTATCGGTTTCTGATAGAATTTCTATTATCACGAAGGAATAAACACCATAATCATCACAACAAAGTGCATACTGGTTTCTATTATTCAGTCTGGGTTCGTCAGCACGCATTTTGATTATGCTTTGTGGCAAATTGTTTATAATTTTCTTCCTTAAGTGACGCGCTCCCCACTTATTGAGCTAATTTATTGGATCGTGTGACTGACGCCGGCACGCGATCAGCTCGATTGAGCAAACGAACATGCCAAGAGCTCTCCAAAACTTTTGCTCAGTCTTTCGCCAGCTCTGCGCGCGTTGGGAGGCATCGCGACGGGTGTTTTGGAGTAATACGTGAAGCTTATTTTTTTTTAAAGCTAATTTATTCTAAAATGTATGCAAGTTAAAATTTGAAGACGACCGTCAAAACAGTTGTGAAAATATTAGCTTGTAAGCACCAACGCGTTTCGTCAGCTTAAACAAATAATTAGGTACGTAAATGGCCGCATTTTTTCCAAATTTTGTATTTGTTATTTGCCGTATGTACATACATATGTGTGTAGATATGTACTAGTACATATGTACTTAAACATTTATATAAATATAATATAAACATTTTTTAGTTTCGTCTTTCATTTTCAATAAATTCAGCTAAGTCTACCTAAGCAAGTTCCTGGGGCTATCGATGTCTGATTTCTATTTGTTTTTGATCAATTTCATTATAAACTTGGAATATTTTGTTGCTAGATTGTCTATCACGCACGTGTTTCGTAATTTCTAATCATAATTATTGGCTATTCAAATTTGTCAAGTCATTGAACCTATCTAATAAATTGACAAATTTCTAAGGTGCTAAAAGCGATATTCACAGCTTTTAATGAACATACATATGTACAAGTATGTATATGTACGATGTCTATCTATGCATCATATTCCCTTTTTTTGTGTGTATTTGTTATTATTAGATAGAGTCTTAAACAACAAAGATTTAGTCTTAGTTTTTATAAATATGAGAAATATGTTTTCTTTCTAATTATTCTCATAGCATCAAAGGTTTAGTCTTAGTTTTTTTAAATAAGAGAAATAGATTTTCTTCCTAATTATTCTCTATACATACATTACATATACATTACTTCTTAAATAAATTAGGGATTAAATAGTGAACTGTTAAAACAATGAATTAAAAGTTGAAAGTATAATGTACATATGTAGGTATACTTATAAAAATTTCAACATCTTGTACGATCAAAAGACATTTTAAACGAGTGTTTATTTGTAGACTGCCATTTTTAGGCGTCCTAACTACATATTAGACTTATGATTAATACATTCTTACAGTATGTTTAAATCGATCACGCAACAGAAAATTGTATAATCGATAGGGAATTCAAGTACACTCAAAACTGCACTTGAAGCAAATAATATACATTACTAATTTCTATAGAGGATAAAAATATGTAGAACGCAGCACATAGATTTAGAACATATTATAATGCTCTTTGAGAATATTAAATAAATGTTGTGGGTAATATTTTTGAATTAAAATAAACTATAATAAAAGACCCACTCTCTAAGCTCTAAATGTTTAAGTTTTAGTGAAGATTTAAAAAATATTTATTTATTTTCAGTATCTACCATAATGCCCACAAATCAGCTTCTCATCCGCATATTTCCTGGCATTAAATGGCTGCATGGCTATACGGCACAGGATGCTGTGGCGGATTTGATAGCAGGCGTGACTGTAGGGCTGACTGTGTTGCCCCAAGGCTTGGCTTATGCCACGCTGGCGGGTCTGGAGCCGCAGGTGAGTAAACCAACTGAATGTATAAGTCGGGTTTAGTTTATCTGCAACGATTGTCATTTTACAGTATGGTCTGTATTCAGCTTTTGTGGGCGGCATTGTGTATGCCTTGCTGGGCAGCTGTCGCCAGGTGACCATTGGACCAACAGCCCTGCTGGCACTAATGACCAGCCGGCACACGGGCTTTGGCTTGAACTCGGGTCCGGACTATGCCATTCTATTGTGCCTCATTTCGGGCTTAGTTGAGTTCGCCATGGCCGTATTGAAGTTGGGAGCACTGGTCGACTTAATTAGTTTGCCGGTGACGGTGGGTTTCACATCGGCCACTGCCGTTATTATAGGCACGTCACAGCTAAAGGGATTACTCGGGTTACGCGGAGGTTCCGGCTCCGATTTTCTGAATACCATGAAGTCGGTTTTTGGAAATTTACATAATGTACGACGTGGTGATCTAACGCTCGGCCTAGTGTCCATTTCCGTGCTATTACTGCTGCGAGTGAGTGAAAAATTATGATTTCTAAGCAATTTCAAAAAATTCTTTCTTTTCCCCATGCAGAAACTTAAGGACATAAAACTGGCCACACGCATTCGCAGTGTGCGTTTGCAGCAGTTGCTGAGTGGAAGCATTTGGGTTATTGCCACCGGACGCAATGCGCTGGTAGTTCTGGTGTCCAGTGGCTTGGCCTATAGCACCTGCGATCGTACGGATTCCTGCCCGTACATACTAACGGGCAAGGTAAAGAGTGGCTTGCCGAGCTTGGCTCTACCCAAATTCGATACTGTAATACTCGGCAGGAACGACACAAAAGTGTCGCAGAACTATGAGCAAATGGTGTGTATAGTTTACAAATATAAAAAAATGTCTGTCGTCATGCAAATCCAGTGAATTTTAGTTTTTATAGAGAATTTATTTGATTATTTTGTAGGTCTACTATCAAGTTAAGAGCTTTCCCCAAATCTTGGGGATTTGAAAAAAATTATACATTAATCAGAAATTCTTGAATTCTTATATGTTTTTCCATATCAGCTTCCAAACAAGAGCTAAATGTTTCTTAATTACATTAAAGTTTTAAAAATGTTTACTCAATATCAGTATATACATACTATGTATGTGATCAGAGCGACATGAACTCATTATTTTTAATTGGTAACACCCCGATTTTGATAATTTTGAATAATTTACGTTCTAAATTGCATTTACAAATATTTTACTTTTATTTATTGATAACTTACTTGAAAATGTGCAAAGTAAAAGAAAAGTAGAGAAGACTATACACATTTTAATAGCATCTAAAACCGAAACAAACTCTTGCGAATTTGATTTGCTTTTCGGCTAGCAATGCCCCATTAGCGAAACAGAAAATAATAAATACATTTCATCATGACTGTTTCTTAAGCAAATATAATACATTTTAATTCTCATACACTGCCTTATTTGCAGCTTTCCGAACTGGGACCATCGATGTTCATACTGCCAATTATTGCGGTGCTCGGCAACGTGGCCATCTCTAAAGCTTTTGGTGGTGCCGGGCTGAGTCCCACACGCGAATTGCTCGCCCTTTCTATGAGTAATATATGCGGCTCGTTCTGCAGTTCCATGCCGGTAACGGGATCCTTTTCTCGCAGCGCTGTGAATCACGTGAGCGGGGTTCGTACGCCCATCGGTGGCTTCTATACCAGTGCCCTCGTGCTGCTGGCTTTGGGTCTGTTGGCACCCTATTTTCAGTATATACCTAAGGCGGCGTTAAGTGCGGTCATCATATCGGCTGTTATCTTTATGATTGAGTTTGAGGTCATTCGCCCGCTTTGGCGTTGTAGTCGACGGGAGCTGCTGCCTGGCGCCATTACATTTGTAATGAGTCTGGGAGTGGGCGTGGAGATTGGTTTGCTGCTGGGCGTGGGCGCAGATGTGGCCTTTCTGGTCTATCGGGCGGCTCGTCCGGTGCTAAGCGTTTCAAAGCTGCATACCATTAACGGAATCAGTTATATACTCGTTCGGCCCAAGCATAGCTCCCTGTACTTCCCAGCCATCGAATGGGTGCGCACAGGAATTTCAAAGGCCTTGTCGACGCACGGCACAGCCCCCGTAGTCTTGGACTGCGCCCATGTACATGGTAAGTTGAGGCGGCAAGGAATTTTAAAATGTATATTTGCTAATGGATTTATTTCTTTCAGACTTTGATTTTACCGCTGCCCGCGGCATGGGTTCATTACACAAGGAGTTGGCCAAAATGAATGTACCATTGTTTCTGATGAGTGCTCACAAAGATATAAGCGTTCTTTTAAAAGAGTCCACAAGCATTAACTTTCCCACGATAGAGTGTCCGGACGATTTGGAGTGCATACTGGAGCAGAGTGAGTATTGACAGCAGCTACTCCCATATTTCGCACACTCGCAGCCCAAAGGCACAATCCAACTCATTGACATTCATATGCCATTCTTCTTTCCAGCAATCGCATTAGCTTGTTAATGCGTTTCCATATTCTTCAGTTTCCTAAACATTACATGTTCACATCCATAATCATGCCGCAGAATTGTTAGCTTCTCAGGATTATAAATACTATCTCAATTGTTCTATTGTTACAGCGCCCGACTATGAGCTCCATTTACAGGTGACTGCGCCCCTTGTTGAATCAAAAATATTGCAACATAACGCACATATATCCGATGCGGAGCCAACCGAGTCGAGTAAACTAAATGGCAAAACCAATTAAAGACCTTTCGTAAACTATTAAGTGATTTGGTACTTAAAATTTCCAGGCAAATCAATCTCAAAACGCCCATTGATATCCGTTCACTTTTTTATACATTTCTCTTATTTCTATTGCTAGATGAGTTTCGAAACTATTTCATATTTGAGATCCCATGACTTTCTACTGCGAACCATCCAACTTTTGTACTCACCTACTGATCCATTCCTATTATTTATTTCTGAGTAATCAGCTCATTTATAAGGGCCAGCAACTTATCATAATTAATTTCGAATTAGACTAGAAACATATGCGAATTGTAGTTATACAAAAATGTTATATACTGTCTTAGAAATTCGCTTTTATTTAATTAAGGATACAACTAAAGTGATTTTTAATATTATTAACTAATTTTTACATGCAAATTATTATAGTGTAGTTAATTTAATTTTTTATCGAAAAGAATAAAAAACTTTATATGGAACAAAAATGCATATTTGCAAGGGCAATAAATATAAAAAACAGCTTATAACTAAGTTAAGTTAAGAATATTTCGAATTGAATACAACAATAATGTTCGGCATTTACAAATCGGTGATCTCATGCTGAGATTCGTAGACGGCGCATGCGCCGCTATTGGGCAACTTGGCCTGATCCTCACTGGTAATGCGTGTCAGGAGCTCGGTCTGGATACGTTTCAGCACCTCAACAACTTCACAGAGCACTCCGCTCTGTGCCGCCTGCTGCATGGCCTCGTTGGCATCGACGAGCGCCTCGTTAAGTGCTCCTTGCTCCATGCGTGCCTTGGCACGTGCATAGTAGCCCTCGTAGCTGTGCGGCTTTTGCAGTATAGCCTGTGTGGCCAAATCTATGGAGGCGTCAAGTTCCTGCAAAATAGTGAAAAATATTCGATTACAAAATTGCTTTTTTAAAAAAATAATTTCAAAATCTGATAAATTTTTGATCAATCAACGAACGACCATTTATGGACTGCATTTCTAGATGCTAAGAAAAATAATGCCTATAACTCCAAAAACATTCTAATCAGTTTCCAGTAAGTAGGTTAATTTGATTTGAAGCTTGGTAGACCCCACAAAGTATATATATTCTTGATCAGCATGACAAGCCGAGTCGATATAGCCATGTCCGTCTGTCTGTCTGTATGAACGCAAGGATCTCAGAAAGTATAAGAGCTAGAATAACCAAACTTGGTATACAGATTCTCCTGAGCCCGAGAAAGGACGAGTTTTTTCATTTTTTCTGATCCACCCCCCCACTCCCCCCTATTAACGATTTTCTGTAACTCCCGTAATTCTTGGAATTTTGAACTCAAATTTGGTAGTCACATTAGGTTAGTGATTATATATCCGTATACCAAGTTTCATAATGATAGAATGTGTGTGTGATATATTTGTAACTTACATTCAATTTTCGCTTGCAGCGCGACAGATTTAGCAACAGATTGGTGCGCAGCTGTGAAAACACCGCATTCCGCTCGAGTAACTGCTCCAGGCCGGAGATCTTGCGCAGCGCATACTGATAGCGATGCGCCGCATCCTGAAAGCGATTCTTCCGATACAGTACATTGCCATCTTCGAGCAGCTTGTTAAGCAGGACCACCAATATCTCGGGCTTGCCCATGGCCATGCTCCATGTTGTGGGACCCAGTTTGGCGCCTTTGCGCAGAAAGACCTGCACGGCTTGGATATTACGGCAGGCAATGGAGCGATCTAACGGTCGCATGCCATGCACATCGATGTGCTCTATGTTGGCGCCCTGTTCCAGCAAATAGAGCACCAAACTGGCAGTGCCTTGATAAGCAGCCAAATCCAGGGCAGTCCGTCCGCTGTGATCCTCGTGCTGACGATTGCAGCCGTGTTCGATGAGGCACTTGGCCGCCTGCAGGTGGCCGCGCAAGCAAGCCCAACTAAGGGCCGTAAAGCCCTCGTGATCCTGCGCTTCCAGTGCTGCTCCACGAGCGAGCAATAGCTCCAGCAGCTCGATGTGTCCCTCCTCGGCGGCAATCATGAGAGGTGTTTTACGCGCCTGCGTCACATGCTCGTCCACATGGGCGCCATGTTGTAGTAGCTGCTCAACCACAGACCAATGCCCCTCCTTCACGGCTAGCCACAGCGCCGTGTAGCCCTGCCGGTTTCTCGCGTCGATCTTGGCGCCGCGTGCGAGCAGTATTATGACCGCATCGACGCAGCCATGACGGGCAGCCGCCGTCAATGCCAACTCGCCGCTGCTATGTTCCAATCGGTTAACATTCACGTCATCCAAGTCGAGCAGATCCTCCAGTATGGTTACATGCGCCTGCGCCGCGGCACCTATTAGTGCTTGCTGAAGTGCCAGCTGCAAGCTAACGTCGTGCGAATGCGCTCGAGGTGTCCAGTCGCAGGCCAACAGGTACTTAACCACATTCAAGTGACCCATGCGCGCTGCATGGACTAAAGCGCAGCGTTGCGTTGTATCGACCTGGCCGAGACTGCTGCCTGCGGCAACCAGCAGACGCACAACATCGCAATGGCCGCGCATGGCAGCCAGGATGAGTGGTGTGCAGCCCTGGCTATTGGTGAGCTCCACATCGGCCCCGAACTCAAGCAGCAAACTGACCATGGGCAGGATACCCTCATGGGCGGCTATGCACAGAATAGGCGCATCACCCATAAAGTCGGTGCGATGATGGGGAGAAGCACCCGCTAACATAACTAGACGAGACACCTTCAAGTTGGGACTGTAGACGTTCCGCAAGGCGCCCAATGCTGCCGAAATGTTGTCCGCCACGCCGGCCAGCCAGAAGGATTGCAGATCTCGCGGGGAGAGATTTGCTTGGCAATTGCGATAAATGTGGGCCTTGAGCATGTGATGGCCCAGCTCCAAGGTTTGTTCTGCTGTCAGTGGTGCCTGCAGACGCGACAATCGGAAGGCAATGGCTGCATGACCAATTCGCGCGTCGCACAGAAACTTGCTGGACTCGCCCTCGTCCCGGCGCATCAGCCATTCGCGCAGCGAGGAGTGGAAGAACATGTAGGTGTTATCCAGACGCTTGATGAGAAAGCCATCCAACAGCTTGAAGCGTTGCATGAAGTCGGGCCAAGTGAGCGACTCCTGGCCATTGGTCAGTGCACCAATGCTGTAATAAATCTCGTCCAGCGTTAGCGGATATAGCGCGGCGAGGCAGACATTAAGTATGGGTGCTGCCTGCTCGAAGCTGTGTGCCGTGGGAAATCGTAGATTGAAGTGAAGCAAGAAGATTTGGGCCAGCGATACAGGTAGCACCTTATAGCTGGACGATTTAATGACCAGCTGACCACGCGCAATGAGATCGAGTATGAGCTTGGCGTAAAGCATTGAGCCGCGACTCAAGGCCTGCAAATGAGTCACGAATTTCGTCTGACCCTGCGTTTGTCCCTGCGCCTGCTGTTGTCCAATGTTCTGCTGTATCTCCGGAGAATGCGCCAGTCGGCAATTAATGTAGTCCAGCATGTCCTGCTGCAGCGCTTGGCTGCTGCTCCAGCTGTCCAGGGTTAGCTTGGTGTAGGAGGGTGCTTTAACCAGCTCGAGCATCTGTGTACGCACGGTGGCCACCAGCTTTAACCAGGCAGGGAAGAGCGGGGTTAACTTTGCGAGAAAGCTGGCTATCGTATGCCCATGATCTGGACGATGATACTCTGCTTCGCAAAGTGCATCGACCAAGATGACGCAAATCTTGGCAGGAATTTTGTTCGCTCGTCGCAGCACTGCTAGTGGTTCGAGTATTGCCAGTCTCATCACACGTTCTGCATCCGCAATGCATTCACGCACACTCAGTATGTCCTGCAGATGCGGTTCTGACAGTAGATAGTCACGATAGGCGGTCAACTGGGGAGCTTGGCACAGCTGAGCGGCCAACGAATGGACAAAGTCGGGTACTAGGCAAGTGAGATTGGCATCAGCCTGACAGAAGTGATAGCCCACAATATGGGAGGCCAGGCCCCGCATGCGCTCGTGTAAGGCGCCAATTTGACTGTAGATCCCGTCCGGGTCCTCTTGACGGCGACCGAAACAGGAGTATTCCACCAGCTGTAGTATGAAGGCTGTCTTGCCAGTACCTGGCTGTCCGTTCAGCAGAACAACGCGCGTCTCAGTACCGAGTAGAATATTGGATAGCTCATGCACCAGCCATTGGCGCCCAAAGAAGGGCGGATCAGGCTCCTGAAGGGGTACCTCGAAGAATAGAGGCTTAAGTGCCAGCTGAACAGCTGCGAAACCTGCCGCCTCTGCTGCTGGCTTGTAGATAGCTGCGCGCTTATTGGCACAACCTCCAGCTCCTCCTCCCCCTCCTCCACCCACGCTAAGTTGTTGCGCACGAGCAGATCTACGGGTTGCGCATTTACGGGTTTTGACGGGCATTGGCAAGGCCTCGTATCCTTGATCGTTGAGTGTGCAGCCAATTTTGAATTTGCTAGAGAGACTCAATGCATCGTCCTTGGTGGTGGTGGCAACCGAGAGTTGGCTGCCACTTAGTAGTCCAGCGGAAGCATTCGTTGCCAAGGTCTGTTCGGGGCTTATGTTGTGCGAGGAGTAGGAGGAGCCACTGGTGCTGTTGCTGCTGTTGGTGGTGGTGTTGTTGTTGGTTGTTGTGCTAGTAGTAGCCGCCATGACACCACTGCCACTGCTGCTGCTGCTATTGGTGGTGTTTGTGTTGGTGTTCGAGTGCGCGGAGTTCCCATTGTGGTCGCTGCTGTTGTCATGTAGGAGCAAGCCAAGGCGAGCACGTAACTGATCCTTTTGCTGTTTCTCCGATAGCTCCTGGGACAGTATTTCGCTGCCTAAAGGAATACAGAAGAAAACAAAAAGAGCATTAACCGAATGTCAAAAGTAGACCCCAAGCAAAAATTCAGGCGCATGCAAAATGTATTAAAAATAAAGGAGGAATATGGGAGCGTGCATGAGTTGTGAATGATTATAGAGTAGTGCTCCCTAAAAGAGCAAAACACCATGCTGGTAATATGAAGAACATATGAGAACTGAAGACGCCATGCCTGTAAGCTGATTGAGTCCCGCATCGCTTGAATTGGAGGAATTGACGCTCCACAGCGATTTGATTTTGCCAAAGACCAAGGACGAAAGATGACCCGCATAGACCGAAGTACCCGCTAGGCTCAAACGGTTCAAACGATTTTCACTGCTCGCGCCTTGCTCCGCTGAGGTTTTCAGATTATTGTTGCTAACGTTTTTCCGGCGACGTCTCGTAACAGCCGAGTCCGAACATGTTGAGGTATTCAAAGCATTTGTCTCTTTATCGTTGGGCTGATGATCTGCGATGTGGATGATGGTGACGATATGATGTCGAAGCAATAGAAAATTATTGTTGTGCAAAGGTGTAATTAAGTGTAGATGAAAGGAATACCATTTATTGGGGAACTAAATTAAATTATCTAAAATCTAATCTAGGTCTTCATGACCCTACACTTTAATTCAAATGCATCAATAATCTGAAATCTAAGTTAAGCCAACACTTTGACTTTTTCTAATGCAACATAATTTCTATTCAATATTGGTAATGATTATGGACCTGGCTAGAACAGAGCTACTAAATAAGTTTTATTTTGCTATTAAATAACTTTCAACCCCGATGTGGATAAACTCTATGGAGACGATGTAACCCACAAATGCGTGCCTAAGGCAGCACATTAAATTAAAACTGTCCTGACCAAATTTTATATTACTATATAACTCAGGAGTACACAAACTAAAAGTTAGATGAATTGAATAGTGTTCTTACTGAAGTTTTGAAAAGACGCACAGAACTACGTTAAGAGACAGACCCTGTTAAGTCTTCCCAGTCTTCTACCCCAACTAATAATAATAAATTATAATAGAAGTAGTATTGTGCCAAAACTAATGGTGCAGGCATTAAATAATAACAAATAATTTTTCCCTCTGATGTACAAATCCTAGAAATAAATATCTAAAAGTATTATAGAGTTGTTTAATTTATAAAAAAAAACATAGCTATGTGCTTCTAAGAATAGCTTAGACGATTTCTGAGAGATTTCTAGAGACTTGTGTTTAATAGAAAATGTAGAGTAAAGACCGTACTACCCAAAAGCTAACCCATCACCACTATGAGACTAATTATGACAATATATGACTTACCACCCGATAATATAGAGGTTGTATCAATGGGGCAGCCGCCATTGGAGGCTGTGCGTCGATGTCCGGCCAAGGCGTTGCGCAAATTCTTGTGATTGAAGAAACGACGTCGCGTCGGGGGAGTGGCGAAGGCGGCCGCATTCAGATCCCCGTAGTTCGAGTGATTGTTGTTGCTGCTGCAGCTGCTGCTATTGGTGTTGGTGTTGTTGTTGTTGCTGTTGCCATTATTGTTGCTGTTGCTGTGCTCCTTGCTGGGTCCGATGTGGTGAATGTCGGCGGTAACGATATGTGTATTACCAGCATGTCCAAGTCCATTGCCGACTGCCGCAGACCCTCGGGGCAGCTTGCCAATGCTCGCATATCGGTGATACTCTGGCGACTGCGACTCCTGGCGATGCTGCTGAAAGTAAATGGGGAAAAACGACTTGAGTTAGAACAGCAAACGTTTAGCGATTTGTTGTGTCCATGCCACAGAAGTGTTGATGTTCGGTGTTATCGATGATGAAAGTGCCGGCTGCTTTCAAGCACAGCTTCTTAGCCACGGTGAGGTCACAGAGAAACGGAAAGAGGTGCACGGCACATTAAATTGGCTCGTTATCGGACACAAGCCGAAGTTCTGAAGGCATAGAATGGCCTAAATATGCATTTTTCGTCACACTCCAACAAAATATTAACATAGAAAATGATTTCTGGCTTATCAGCTTAACAAAGATCTTCCATTCTCTAAAGTCTTTCAGCTTTTCTTTTTTCTTCCAGCTTTCACATGCGTGTGTTTTCTATAATTCGTTTATATTACAGTTTGATGATAACCTAGGATACATTTTAAAACTTATGAAATTTATAAATTCCTAAACTTACTTGTATTAGTGTTACTTTATTACAATATATTTGTTTAAGTAGCAGGGGCTAAGCTGCCTGTACTCTTAACATTGAGATAACCTTAATTCATAATGTTTTTAAGAAATGTGAAGAAATTGAAATTGAAAAAATTATTATCCATTTTTTTTATAAAATACCTAATTTTTTCTAAGATCTCAGATGAAAATCGGATTTATTATATTAGCAGAATCTTTTCTAATTAAAATGTCTAATACCTAGTCAGCTACAAATCGTGTTGTATTTTCGAAAAATGTAATCAAATGACAATAATATTAAATAAACGCCTCCGACTTCTTTGGGGAATTTTATTTGCTCCGAATCCCAGCAAAGTGTAGTCAGACCTACAAACAAACGTTTTAAACCCAAAATTTCCAACCAAAAAGAAAAACTGGTCAGATAAAGGGAAATTTGGAAGTTATTAAAAGCGAATTCTTTAAATGTTAAAGAATAAACAATCGATACAAGTAAAATATATAAAAAAGGAATCTCTGACCCGGGAAAATTTCCGGCAAACTATGCCCCGTCTCACAGCCGTGTGGTTTGAGACTCCAGAGATAGCTGTAAAGAAAGGCTTTTAGAAGAAGAGAGTTCGGCTGATAAATGAAACATAAGGCCCAGAAAGGCTTATGAAATGCATAATCGGTTGCACAGATATTAAGAATGAGAAGAAGATAACTTCTCGTTATTCTCGATGGCGTAGAGAAATTAAGACGACCTAAATGAATCTATTTATCGATTATTATCAACAACTGTAATAAGTTAAAACTTAACCTGTGATGAAGCATCCATATGCTGCCTAATCAAGAATATATAATATGTATATAAAATGGTTATTAATATTGATGTTTTTTCAAAGCTCTGCTTCTTAGATAATCTCCCCCTAAAAGTTAATTGGCGATTTAGTGTTTGAGCTGAAATAACCATTAGTTGAATTGAGAAGCAATTTTTTAGAGCAAGACTGAGCTTTAATTTTCCAGACTGTGTATACAAGCTTGTCATAATCATAATTCAGACATCAGCCGCCTTAAGTTTAGTTGTTGGGCTTTTTTTAAAGACAGCCCGACTCCTTGATGGCTTTTCTCTCTCTCTCTATCTGTCCTCCTTTGCTGGAGATTGTCTGATTAGTTGATTTTTGGCGTTGGCTGCTCGTTCCAGACTAATGTCCAGTGACGCCTTATCAAGCGAGCCTCGTCTGCGAATTTTGCGTTGGTTGATGGCCGGTCGTCGTCTTCTTGGACGGCTTGGAAGTTGAAATCAATTTTATTCGCATGCGCAAACTGTCAAGTGTATTTAGCTGGGCTTAGTCATCGTAGGCCCAGTCTGTTATGCTCGGTATGTTTTAGCATCGGGGTCTCGTCTTAATGAACCGCAAATCATTTCTGGTCCGCGTTGGATGTTGGTTAGGTAGGCTGGACGACCGAACCGAGCCAGGCTCACAAGCCCCAAACGTGATTGGCAATTTTCTTGAACACACACATACATACGGAGTAGACTCAGACTCAGAACCTGTTCCAAACTGTCTTTGGTGTGTGGGATAATAAGATGAAATTGGCTTCGTCTGGGACAGGGCCTTTGTATGTATACAAGTATAGGAGGTTATGTAAATGAGCGAACAGCCCTGGGAGTATGTTAGGCATTTTAATGTTTTTCGATTGTTCTAATAAAAAATAATGCAGTCTCTGCCATTTGGCCAAAACTGTGCAGTTTTTCATAAATTATAACACATCTTCAAGGTAATGGGTAGATGTTTTTGTGGACTACACCTTTAAGTGGAAGTTGCGCTGAGTCATGAGTTGTTGCATCTTTCGAACGCCTTCGGGGCAATGTGTTCCTGTTCCATTAGCATAAACCGGCAACTAGCTCCCACGTTTTTTTTTTTTTTTTTTTTTTTGAATTGCATACCGTTTTGCCAGTTTCCGCTGCGGATGTTGCCAATCATTGGAGCTTCTAAGTGCTGCGTGAGGCGACTGCCCACTGACTGACGCCACAGCTCAGCAAGACAGAGAGCATCAATCTGTCTATATATCCGATTATCTACCTTTCTGTCTGGACTTGTTGCTGTTACTCTTGCTGTCTGTCTGTCTGCCTGCCTGCCTGTCTGTCTGTCTATCTGTCTGTGTCGTGTTGCTGTTGACGAAGTCTCTGGAGGCATCATTTTAATCGCATAACATCTTTCATTGCCTCGGCAACGACGGCGTTAGCGGCTTCTGTGCTCAGCCTAATAAAGATGTTCATTAAAGTTGTCGACTATTGAAATTAAGTTGAACTAAAGCGACGAACTCCATTAAAAGTTTTCGAGGCCGCCTCTATCTAGCAATCGCTGGTCGGTTTCGCCTCTACATCGATTTGGCTGCCATAATTAAGCTTCGTTTCGCCCCACATGCCGGATCGATCACATGGTGAGGGAAAAGTCTTTCTTTAAACTAGTTCGCGACACCGTCACCAGTTTCGTTGTCGGCTTCGGTGTCGACTTCGGTGTTGGAGTCTGTCTGGGTCTTCACTGGTACTGGACCTGGCACTGGTACTGGTTACTGGTACGCGTAACTGCGGGACCCCGCGGTGGCATTTTAATTGGCCATCATTTTGATTAAGTTGTAGCTGTACACGAGTTATGTTTGAAAAATAATTAACAAATTATAGTTGCGCCCGACGTTGAAATTGAAATTTTTGTGTTTTTGCAATGCTTTCAGGTGTGATTTTCACTTTTCTACAAAGCCATTTATAGTTAATGTTCATGGCATCAGGGGCGTTACCTGCTTAGCCATATCACTAAATATTCGAGATAACTGTTGGCTAAAGGCATCGCTTAATTGGAAATAGTAAATCCACAAAAAAAAAACATTGAAATTCGTGCGTCTAGGTTAGCGAATAGGTTCCTCATCACTTTCTTCAAGGGTGTATTGCCAACGACAAGTGGAAACAGTTTTAAGCCTAAGGATCTTTGTGCTTGATGAAATCTTTTTAACAAAAAAGCATTTTATTTTGTTTCTTTTGTGAGCATGACTTTGTGAGGTATTTGAGTAGTCGAAGTAGGTTTTTCATTTGTATCCTAACTTTTCATTTATTCATAATCTTTTTTCTGCTTCTCTTTTCCAACTGGCAGAATGTGCTTACCCCATGAAGTCTTTTATACCTTGCTGTCCGATACAGGCTTATCTCATGCATAGGTACATCCACAATTATTAATTAATATTTACAAATACATTATTAATTATAGTGTGTTTTCTTTATTTGGAGCATATTTTGGTTCTGTAAATGCTTTGTTTTTATAGCCTGCACCCAAAGTAAATTTATTCTATTGAAACTGTACATGAACATGTCTCCACTGTTGTATATATGTATTGAATAATTTGTATTTAATTTAATTAAATAATTTAATAAATATATTTCTTAAAAATTGTTTTTTTTTCAAGTTTTCCTTTTTGGTGGGAGGTACAGGTTCTTTGATATATACTATATATATATAGATATATATATATATATTAAGCTCGCTCGACTTTAACATTCCTTTCTTGTTTTTTAAATAGAAACAAGGTTTTGAATTGTGATTTTAATATGATAGCTTTTTCACTAAAATGAAGAAGTCGCTTTTTTCAGCTTTGTAGAAAGGTTAAACAAATGTTTACGAATTCGAATTTGAAAGGTACTTCTTACGAACTATGCATAAGCTAATAAGAATCGTAAACATCAGTTTAAATATGTAAACTGAAAAACATTAGTCATAAAAAAATTGCAAAATTATTGCAAATATTATTTACACCATTTATGTATTAGATACAGTGACAGGCTTCTGAAGCACCGTAGTTAGCTTGCAGGAGGACTCCTTCCTGCCAGCCCTTTGCGAAGACTAAAACGATTAGGTTTTTTCAAAACATTTAGATAAGCATAAGCCACCACTAACTTATTAATCCTATGCTTTAATTAAACAAAAAAAAAGATCTATTATTAACATCATTTTCGATAACAAAACACAAATCAATTAAAAGGACGTGCATTTGTGGACTGTTTCGAAAGTTCAATTACCATTCAGGTCCCCACCTGGCCAGCACTCGAGTCTGGCACCCACACCCCAATCCAATAACTGGCAATTGTGGGAAAAATCAAAAGCCATGGGACACAATTTTTAAATGTTAGCAGTTGTCACACAAAAACCCAACTAATTTAAAATGTAAAAACAACGGCAGTTGAACTTTAGCCGCGCCCGCAAAATGGCAGAACCATTTGGAACCCACAATACGAATGCTGCCGAAAACGTCAAAATAAAATAACAACAACAACAACAAAAAAAAAACACCAAAAACCTTTCACGCAAAATATCGAGCAACTGAAGACAACAACAAAAAACGAACCAAAGCTGTTAAGCCTAGCGGGCAGCTGCAATAATAACAACAACAACAACAACGAAATAAAGGCGCAGGTGTAATTCCGGCCGGGCCAGAGTCGAGATCGCGCGTCGTAATATGACAAAACCCGCATTAATATGATCGCCTGGGCCTGGGCCTGGGCTTGGGTCCGGGC